TTTACTTAAAATGAATAAATAATTAAAAACAGTGTGGAAAGGAAAACCAATCCTGTTCCAAAAATAAGAGTACATTTTATCATCATTACCCCAAAACCACTACAAATGACTCTTACCCTGAATCAACATTTTTACCCCCAAACTGCAAGTCACAATCCATCAATGGATTAGGAAATCAATGTAATGGTCTCAACCAGCATTATTTTTAAAATGAAAATAACAGAACTTTTGAATATCACAATACATCATAAGTAGTAAAGCTAAGTACCCTTTTCTGGAGCTTTGTGTGTTTGTGTGTACACTTGGTTGTGTCATAAAATGTATTTGTTACTGTAGGTCACAGTCATAAAAGTTTGAAAGACACTGCTCTAAATAATTTGTATTATCTTTCTGTTTGTAATTCTGAATTCAGAAAGTACTTAACATTTGCTGAATGAATAGAGATTCCATTTAGAATAACTTCTGATCAATTAGCCATTTTCCCTTGTGACATCTGTGTGCTCTTCCTTGATAATGACATTTCTTTCATTCTAATTCCACAAGCCTGTAATTCTATTCACTATATCTCCAGAAGCTGGCACATGGCCTGGCACAGAGAAGATGCTAGGAAAAGGTTGATTAAATATGCACCGAACTGCAGTCTACCAACCCCTGTCACTGACGGCTCTGTGAGTTCTTCACAGTCCTGGAACACCTAAAATCACATCCATCCCCCTCTCTCCACTGCCTCCCTAATCCAAGCTACCACTGTCCCTCACTCAGAGAGTGCCTGCTCCTCAATCCATTCTCCATTCAACAGCAGTATCCGTTTCAAAATGCCAATCTAATCACATCACCACCACCCATGTCAGCCTGAGTGGTTTCCCATATTGTTCTCGGAAAACCAAAATTCTTCCTATGACCTATAAAGTCTGCATGGTCTGACCTCTGGGAACCCCTTTAGCTTGTTTCACACCATGGTCCCCAAAAAGCTCTGTTCCCCTTTCGGACCCTGAAATTGGAGGCTCTCTCTCCAGATAGAAAACTCTTCCCTCTCCATTTTGTCAAATCTTTTTTCTGATCTCAGCTCACCATTCACCTCCTCAGTAAATGTTCCTTGACCCGGGGTTAGGTTAAGTCTCCTGTGACACACTCTGGTGTACCCTTCCGTTTCAATTATCACCACTGCAGTTTTGCATGTTTGATTGAGGCCTGTCACCGTCACGAGACTTGAGTCCTGCTGTATTCCTAGCACACATTAGACGCTTAGTAAATATTTATTTAATACAAGTATGATTTCCATTTTGTAAACGAGAAACAAAGGCTCAGTTCGGGAGAAGACCTCACTGGAAGTCACGCAGACAGTAGGGCAGGGCCAGGTTCAGTGCAGTAAGGGTCGACGGCCCCCAGGCTCCAAAGTTAAAAAAAAAAACGCGAAGTAACCCCGAGTGTCCCGGGAAGCCTTGGCGACGGCTTCTCAGGAAGGGCCTACAAAGACACCAGAGTCCCACAGGCAGAGAACCAGCCTCCCCGACGAGGTGGGCCTAGTTCAAGGCACTCCGCGATTCCGAGCTGAGAAGAGGGGCGGCCCGGCCACACACACACACACACACACACACACAGACACACGGAATCAGGAGAGGAAAGAGAGGCCAGGAGGCCACACTCACCGCCTCGCCCCGCGTTCCGGTACCGCGGAAACGCACCGGAAGTTCTCCTGTTTGGCGCCTGACTGGAGCAACCGAGAGAGCGGTCCCGCGGAGCCCTGGGTCGCGGGAAGAATGGCCCGTGCTTGCAGGTTCCGCCGGATCCAACGTTGCCTTTTGCTATTAGTGTCTCGTTTTAGCTTCTGAATTTTAAACAGCTTTGACTAACCTATGCATTTTATATCCCCATCCAGAAACACAGCCATCAGCCATCTTACTTTGGGCTCAAGCAGTCATCGTCACTAAAGCACCGCCAAGGCCATGGCTATCCAGTAGTAGCCAGTCAGGTGCTCGGTCACAGTCTTTGTCAGCCAATCTCTATCCTGGTCACAGTGTCTCAGCTTCCAGTCATACTCAGCCCTCGGGGAGAGCCTCAGAAACCCAGCCGCCAGCCCAGAGAACCAGCGTCCGCTGCTGCGACTGCAGCAGCAGCAGCCATTACCTCAGTCCCTCTGCCCACAATCACCCAGTGTCCTTTCTGCAGGCCAAGTCCGACATCTCAGTCAGGCTATCAGAACATGAGGGAAAGAATCTGCCTGTCTTGTTCTGCACTGTTTCCCTGGAACCTTGCACAAAGCCAGGCACAAAAGCTCTGCTCAGTACATATATTATGCATTTAGTGAATAATGACGATACCGTGGGTCTAACTCTGCACTATTAATCAGGGTTCCACCAAAGATGCAGAGCCAGTAGATCTATATTAAGTGATTTAAGGCAAATAATTGGCTTAGGTGAAGCCAGGTGCGGTGGCTCACACCTGTAATCCCAGCACTTTGGGATGCCAAGGCAGGGGGATCATGAGATCAGGAGTTTGAGACCAGCCTGGCCAGCATGGTGAAACCCCGTATCTACTAAAAATACAAAAATTAGCTGGGTGTGGTGGTGTGTGCCTGTAATCCCAGCTACTAGGGAGGCTGAGGCAGGAGAATCACTTGAACCCAGGAGGCGGGAGGTAGCAATGAGCTGAGATTGCATGACTGCACTCCAGCCTGGTGACACAGCAAGACTCCGTCTGGGAAAAAAAAGAATTGGCTTATGTGATTTTAGGGCAGGCCACTTGGGTATTTCTAATCCTTACACTAGCCTAGTAAGTAGGTATGTATATTCCCAGTTTGCAGAAGAGAAAACTGAGGTTCAAAGAGATGATGTTACACAGCCAGAGAATGGCAGAGCTAGAATGCAAACCAAGGCCTGTCTGTTCTTATCTCTGTGCTGCTGCTTCTTAGCTTGTCTGTCACATTTCCTCAGTGACAGCTGGACACACCAATCTGTCTCGGTCAAAATTTATCTCTTAGTGGGTTGCAGACTAGACAGGGCCCTGCAGTCATGTTTAATCACAATGAGCTGCTGCAGGATTAACCAGAGACAGCCTCCATCAGTCACAGTCATGCTTATCAATCTCAGCCTGTCCTGTCAAGTTTCATTTCCTGCATGAAGAAGCTCAGCTCCCTCTCCACCCATCCCCAACTCCCAGTCTTCGGTGCTGAGCTCTGTGGTCTGGTCTCAAAGTCCCCGATTTCAGTTGGGCTCACCATCTTCTCAGAGACTCCAGGGGACTGAAAACTGGGTGTAGAAGCTGTAGATGGTGACCTAGGAGTCCCACCTTTTGGGTTACATGTCCATTTAGATCAGAATGGCTCAACCTCGGCACTATTGACATTTGGGGCCAGATAAGTCTTTGTTGCAGGTGGCTGTCCTGTGCATTGTAGGATGTTTAGCAGCAGTCCTGGCCCCTACCTACTAGGCATTAGTAGCACCCCTCAGTTGTGACAGCCATTGCTAAATGTCCCTGGAGTGGCGGAGGGTTGGGGGGAAAGGAGGGATCACTCCCCCCCTCAACCCAGTTGAAAAATAATGATCTGGGTGAACTTACCTTTGATTATTCCCTGAAAGCAGAGAGGATTGCCCTTTATGGGAGGCAGAAATATAGATCAGGGTGTACGGGGCCTGAAAAATCGTATGGAGACCCATTGTTTGTAAACCAAGTCCTATTCCAGAGCCCTACGGATAACAGATTGCTAAAGGAGACCGACAGAGAAAATTCTGGGAAGGATTCATGATGTTCCTCACAGCAATTGCCTCTGACAAGACAGAAATCTGGAGAAGGCTGAAGAATCACTTTTCTCTGCATAGTCTATCATTTAACGAATTACCTTTCCAAAGAAAAGAAGTATTTAGTATTTGAAAGTATAAGGAAATGCTCAAGATATATATATATTTTTTAAAGTATTTGCAATGGTGTGTACAAGATGACTTCAACTCTGGAAAAACACATACAGATGGAAAAGACTCACTGGGGAGATTCGCAGCAATAAAGCAAAGTGGCCTGCGATGAGTTGTTTGGTGCAATAAAAGGAAAGTGTGGTGTGTGCACTTTAGGTGGTCTAAGGGATGAGTTTAGGTTTTACGTGCATGACGGCTTTTAATTTTAGTATTTTTGCATTTATTTTATGAAGACCTCCTTTCTTGGCAAATGACATAAACTTTTCATTTGTGGAAGCAATATAGTTTCCTTTTTAAATACAGTTGCTTTTAAGGTGAGTCAATTTAGTAATTTTTATTATTTTTTTGAGGCATAGTCTCTCTCTGTCACCCAGGCTGGAGTGCAGCGACACCGTCTTGGCGCACTGAAACCTCTGTCTCCTGGGTTCAAGTGATTCTCCCGCCTCAGCTGAACCTCCCAAGTAGCTGAGACTAAAGGTGCACACCACCACGCCTGGCTTTTACTCTTCTTTCAGGAAGAGGAGGGACCATGCTGTTTCTCCGCTCAGCAACCTCCTACACGTCCTGGGGCCCAAATGCTTGCTGTCTCCCTCTCCTAGAATGTGCACCTGAGTTCCTCATCTTTGTTGATTGATCCTTCTCTTCATTCAGCTCGCAGATCACCTCCTCAGGGAGGCCTTACCTGGCCACCGTATTTAAAGTGGTCTCCTTCAGTGACCTTCCTTCTCTTTTCCCTGTGTATTTCCTTCCTAGTGCTGATTACTCTGTAACTGACAGCCTGTGCTGGCATCTGTTTCCTCCACGAGCCTGTGAGTTTCTGGAAGGCAGGGACTTTTGTCTTGTTTGTGTTGTGCCTGGAGAGTCACCAAGGCCTGGACCACCCTGAGCTCCAATTATTTGTTGAATAAACATGTTCTAAGTTGGGATGTCTCCACTTCAGTTTTAGCCCTTCCCACAATGCCAACTTGTACCAGTAGCCAAGGTCAGAGAGAGAGAGACAGAGAGAGAGAGAGAGAGAGAGAGACAGAGAGAGACAGAGAGAGAGACAGAGACAGAGACAGGAGAGAGGAGAGGTGCGAAGGAAGTATGGTTCGGCATTAAACACATTTATTTCACTTTTATTGAGTATACAAGAACAGAGAGCACACGCATACAGCACGGAGCACTGAGGTGGGGGAGCATGGGGACGAGAGAGGAGAGAAGGGTGTGAGTAAAAAGGAACAGGACAGCATCGCAATTGATTGTTAAGGTGCTTTTGAAAAAAAAAAAAGTATTTCGAGTGATGTTGCTCATGCAATTTCAGGCCGGTCTTGGAATGTGCTTGTAGGATTCAAAAACTGAAACAGGTCCTGGCACTTCCTATACCCTCAGATGAAAAAGATCCGGAAAAAACAAAATAAGAGAAAATGAAGACCCGTGAGATGGCAGAGTAGAAAAAGACCCTGGAGAGCATCTGGTTCTCTCTGCTTATTTTGCAAGTCGGGAAACTGAGGCCCAAGAAGGGGAAGAGGGATAGCCTGATGTCACATGGTGTTAGGAGCTGAGCTAGGATGGTCACGCAGAACTCCTGACCGCCCTCCAGGACTTTTCCCACTATGCTACGTGGTCTCCTGGGTGGAGAGGCGGCACAGAGGATGAGAAACAAAAAAGAGAAAAGTAGGTTGAAGACAGACAAGACAAACATCTCTATTCTCTACAAAGAGGAGGATGGGGAGGAAACAGTGCCCTAGATTCTAGCTTTGCAGGTCCCCTCCTCCCTAGTGGCACTGCCTGCGTCTCCATAGAAGGAAGGTCAGAGCATCCATGGGATGGTGATCTCCCAAAACCCAGGTGGCCCACAAGCTCCACAAGCTAAGCCTGGTCACGTCATCCCTGCCCTGAAGCCAGGTGCACAATCCAGAACAAGGACCCTCCCTCTGAGTGTGTCCACTGTGCTCAGGACTCCTGGCTCCTGCAAAGATGAGCTCCTGGACCAAAGTTGGCCCAAAGAGGATAGAGCCACCACTCCAGCTCTTGACCCAGAAAGAGAGTTAACAAGGGCAGGAAGAAGGTTCTGTGGCTTTCCCACCAGGACTGCAGAAAGAACCCGGTGTATGGAAAGTGTGCTGCTGCACTTAGGGGGGTTGGAGTGGGCCCACTGGCCCACATCACGGGGAATGCAGCTGATTCTGCTGCCCCACTGAACTTCCCACTTGCCCAGAGAAGCAAATGCTGTTCTGATTTCCTGCCCTGCCTCAGGCCAGCACCAGCTAAGCAGCTAAGGTGCATGCCATCACTGACAAGCCAACCAAGGGGGCGCATCTGGGCCACCTGGGAGTATCCCTGGGCAATGCCCTATAGGTTGGCAAGAGTGGGGAGATGCTCTCAGATGTTCCAGCCATGGTTGAAATATAAAGCTGGCTTGGGTGGCTTCTCAGGCTCCACCCTCCCCTCCTACCTTCTCCTTCAGCCTGAGAATAGTCCCTGGCACAAGCAGATAATCAGTAAATACTTGTGGAATAACTTTATTAACTGCTTGAGAAAGAGGCCTGGGAGGTAAATGGAACTGAGAAATGAGCAGTGCAGTGGGACATTTTCCCTCATCAAGGAGCACTTGCTGAGCTCAGAGAAGTAGCTTGTGACAGGCAGGCTTGAGGAAGCCCACATGTGGCAGAGGGCAATGCCAAGCTTGCAACGGGAGCTTCTTGAAGGGCTCCTGTGGTCTTGGGGCAATTTCTGGGCACAAGCCCAGAGCTCAGATGTTCACTGAGAGGGAGGTCTCTAAAGCCAAGTTCTGATGCAGAGCTGGAGCCTTTGAGCAGTACCGCCTGTCTCGCTCAGCTTTGACAGGGGAGCCCTTTGCAAATACAGTTTTGGATCTCAGGGTCTGCCCCATGCAGCCCCCTTACCATGGCTACTTTGGCCCCAGAAGAAGAAATGATTCGGAACAAATGATTCAGACGGGGTAGAGGAAAAGACTGAGCTGAGAATGTTTAGACAGGTTCAAGCCACCATCTTCTACTATGGCTGGGAGCACCACGTCCCTTTGGATATATACATATGGAGTTGGTTATTATAATGGGGTCAGGGAAGGGCAGGATGTGGAAAAAAAAAAAAGAGAGAGAGAGAGAGAGAAAGAGAAGACTGAAAACCAAGGCAATCCCCATAGGGAGGTAGGAGGACTAAGCCAGGAACCTCTACTGTGGGAACTTCAGCAGCAGAGTCCCAAACTGGGGACCCCGTGCCTGAGCACAGACCAGGCCCTGACTGCTACTACTATCTGGGGGGCAGGGAGAAGGCATCTCGGACTGGCATTTTGGGGACATCTGCGTTGCGTCTTTCTTGCCAAACCTCCACCTCTTCATTATGGGGTCCCACCCCTCCCCACCAATCAACCAATTACAAACACCACACACAGTATTACTACACTGAACCCATCAGCCCCTACTGTGAGCCAAGCCACACCCAGAGTCCAGGTCTCCTTAGCTGGGCCAGTTCAGTGAGATCTAGGAACCTCAGGATACATCAATCACAGATAATTACAATGTTAGAATGTCAGCTTCATACTTACCAGCACTGTTTATTTTAATATTTGTTTCCTGTTATATGTAATATACATAACTTAAAAGCACATCCGTACAAATCTCCTACAAGCTGCACCTTCATCATGAGAAACCATAAACATACAATGTCTACTTCCCTTCCTGTGGCTTCATTTTCTGTACTTGCTTTCTTTCCTTTTCCTCATTTCAAAGGAGAGTCATCCGCAGTGGCCCTCAGCAGGACCAGGACACAGAGGGTGAGGCATGTGGGGTGGGGGAAGGGGGAGGAAGAAGCCGAGACAGAAAGTGACAGCAAGACATTGAGAGTTGAGGGTGAGGGGAGGCGGGAGAGAGGATGGTGGATTTTGCAGCCCAGTGTCAAGATCCAGAAAGTAAGAATCCAGTGTTCCTTCTCTTTCTTTCCAAGTGGGGAATTTTCTTTCTTTCTTTCTCAGAAAATGGTTGGCTGTGCATGTCTTGCTGCTGCGACTTCTCTTGCTTTGCTGCGTGAGTGTTTTCCTTTGCATTCGAGTGGGCAACAGAGATGCTGGAGAAGAACAAATGGAATCGCTTGTCTGCTAACTGCAACGTGCAGAAGCAGGGTGGGCGGGACTTCTACAATCATCGTGGTCTGGCTTGCTTTTGTTATTTGGCAGGGGGAAAGGGGTGAGCAAGGGATTATGGTTATTATAATTTTTTTTCCTGGAAAAAAAAAAATTCCACCAGTTCTTCAATTTGTCTGCAAAGGAAATGTAGGTGTTCAGATGTTGGTTGTTGCTATCGGCCAACTGCTCTGCCAGCCCCAGCAGCAGTGCAAGGACGCGGTGTTTCCTGTATATATATCTATATCTCTATATATCTATATATATATGCTTTTCCCTTCCCAGTCTCTCGTTAGTGACAGTACGTCGCAGCTGGGACGTCGGTGTTGCGTTGGAGAATCCAGAATGAAGGCCCCTTCTTAATGGTTCTCTGGCTTGGGTTGGACCAGAAATGCCAGGATCTCTTCACAGAGGTCAGGATTCCTGGAAGCCAGAGGTATGGGGAAGAAAGAGGGGTAAAGGAAGGAAGAGGACAAGAAACGTTAGTAACTTCTGTCACTCGTTTTTAAATATATGGCAAGAGGTTGTTTTTGCTACCCTTTACCGTATGCCCTTTATTGTGACTCAGCAAGGTAGGGTGACTTGCACCTGTAATCTCAGCTACCTGGGAGGCTGAGGTGGGAGGATCTCTTCAGGTGAGAATTTGAGGCTGTAATGTGTAATGATCATGCCTGTGAATAGCCATTGCACTTCAAGAAGCCACATCTGTCGGACTCCAGAGCCCGTGTGTGTTTGCTCGCTTGTTTCCAGGGAGGTGATGATCTTTTACTTTGCCCTGAAAATGTGTTAAATGTCCTTTAACACTGAGAAGCTAAGATCATCATCGTTTCACTTTTTCTTCCTGTCTTTTGTCAGTTCTAAGAAATGTTTAGTCACGATTGCAGATGTTCATTTTTCATTTGTTTTTCCTTTTTGTTGTCTGTGGGCCTGTTGTATCCTGGAGATTAAACCACAGACAGCCATGTTTAAATAAAGAAATGGAGCCTGGCTTCCAGGTTTGGCTCCAAAACTCAGTATTTAAGGGAACAGGCTCTGAAATCAGACTCCCTAAGTTCAAATCCCACTCTATCGGCCTGCCAGCTCTGTAATCTTGGGTGAGTTACTTAACTTCCTTTACTTAAAAAAATTTTTTAAGAGATGAGTCTTACTATGTTGCTCAGGCTGGAGTGCAGTGGCTATTCAGAGTCATAATCAATGCACATTACCACTTTGAATTACTGGCCTCAAGTGATCCTTCTGCCTCAGTCTCCAAGTAGCTGGGATTACAAGTGCACGCCACAGTGCCTGGCAAGTTTCTTAACTTCTTTAAGCCTCAATTGCTTCCTCTGTAAAATGGGTCCTGCCTCCTATCATAGGGAGGAATCAAAGCAAGGGCCATATAGTAAGTGCTGAATAAATACTGGCTGTTCTTATCATTACGATGGTTGCTGTTGTTAATTAACCACACACTACTCTGATCTTCTTTGGGGGCAAGGGCTGTCTTTTGACTCTTGTCTTTTCAGTGTCCAACACTGTGCCTGGCACAAAACAACTACTCAAAACCATTTAACACATGAAATATCATTTCTGCTGCTTGCATACAGTCAAGTGCTAATGGAATAGCAGAAAACAGATCTTTCTTGGCTCATTTGACAGATAGGAAAACTGAGACCCAGGGACTTCACTGGCTTAGTAAGTTGGCAAAACCAAGACTAGAGCCCAAGGTTCCTGTTTTGGAACAGGTCCATTTTTTACTATTCAATTTTGGAAGGTTTGGAAGCACTAGGAAGCTGGGCAAGTGCTGCCCTCTTGTGGGCAGTGTTTGGGAGACAGGCCCTCTTGGAAGGAGGTGAGCCAGTGGTAGAAGATGGAGCAGAAGCCAGATGTCTGACCTGGGAGGTTGCAGGGAGAGAAGGGAAAAGGTTCTGTGTGAGATGGGTGACTTTCTACACTCATAGCAAGACCTTCAAGAAGGAAGAACTTTAAGAAGGAAGATGAGTCAACTGGAGCAGGGACAGATGTTTTAGAGAATTCAGGGAGGGAAGAGAAGATGAAGACCAGCCACATGAACACCCTCATGGAGACAGAGCATCAAGCACTAGGCTGGTGGTGGACAATTATGGTCTGACTTTCTCACTGCACTCTTTGACCCCTAAACATGGAAAAACCTCAGAGGGACAAGGAAACAGGTTCACCTTGCTGAACACCTTCTGTAGGCAAGACATGATCCAGTACATCACAGGTGCTGTTTAGTTATTACAGCAACTCCAATTTATAAATTAATGACATTTTACAGATGAGGAAACTGAGGTCAGAGAGGTTCCTCTGGGCACACAGCTACCAAGTTATTTCCAGCTCCAAAGCCAGCCTGCCTGCCTTCTTTCCTTCCTTGCTTCCTTCCTTCCTTCCTTCCTTCCTTCCTTCCTTCCTTCCTTCCTTCCCTCCCTCCTTCCTCCCTCCCTCTTCCTTTTTCTCTTTGTCTCTCTCCTCCCTCCCTCTCCCTCTTTTTCTTTTTCTCTCTTCCCTCCCCTCTCCCTCCTTCTCTCCCTCCCTCTTTCTTTTCTTTTCTTTCTTTCCTTTCTTTCTTTTTTCTCTCTTTCTTTCTTTTTCTTTCTCTCTTTCTTTCTTGAGACAGGGTCTTGCTCTATCGTCAGGTTGGAGTGCAGTGGCGCAATTGTAGTTCATTGCACCCTCGACCTCCTGGACTCAAGCAATCCTCCTGCTTCAACTTCCCAAGTAGCTGAGACTACAGGTGCCAGTCACCACACCCAGTTAATCTTTTAAATTTTTTATAGAAATGAAGGTCTCATTATAATGGCCAGGCTGGTCTTGAAACCCTGGGCTCAAGTAATCCTCCTGCCTTGGCCTCCCAAAGTGCTGGGATTACAAGTGTGAGCCATTGTGCCTGGCTGCTGGTCAAAATTGAGTAGTATTCTTTCTACGCAATTTTACTACATCCTCACTGGGCATTGGGGTTTTTATTTTTTATTTTTTTCCTTACAGTGACAGGCTGCACTTTAAGTTTGTGCATCAATTAATGAAGTGGGTGCCCTATAAGTCAATGTAATCATTATTCTGGGTATATGGGATGTCTTCATAACCCCACAGACACTTCAGAAGTACCAGAGACATCTAAACAATACAGTGCTATGATTTCTTCTTCTTGGTTTATTACAGCACAGCATGGTCCCTGCATGCAGCATTTTGTTAGCCTACTTCAAGTAGTAATAGTAATCATAACGAACTTTTATTAAGCACTACTATGTGCCAGGCACTGTGCTATCTACCATGCTGCATGGATGATCTCGGTAGCCCTATGAGACAGATGTTATGAAAGATGAGTGTCGGCCAGTTACCCCTGCAATCCTAGCATGTTGGGAGGCCAAAGAGGGTGGGATCACCTGAGGTTAGGAGTTCGAGACCAGGGTGGCCAACATGGTGAAACCCCATCTCTACTTAAAATACAAAAAAATTAGCCGGGCATGGTGGCATGCGCCTGTAATCCCAGATACTCAGGAGGCTGAGGCAGGAGAATTGCTTGAACCCAGGAGGCAGAGGCTGCAGTGAGCCGGGATCACACCACTGCACTTCAGCCTCGGGGACAAGAGCAAGACTTCATCTCAAAAAAAAGAAAAAAAGAGAGTGTGGTGAGAAGGTTAAAACCATTTTGTTTTTTAGTCTAACAGGTTGGGTTTCACTCGCTAATCAGTCAATCATGTTCACAGCTTCATGACTGCGAGCAAGCCACTTAACATCTCTGAGCCTCAGTTTCCTCATTTGTAAAATGAATGAGCAGGTAACAGTGCTTGTGTTGAGTGCACGGCATGGTGCCTGGCACCGCATAAGCTTTCCATAAATTATGGCAATTGTCATTACTGTGATGATCATTGCCATTTGGCTGACGAGGAAACACAGGCTGAAAAGGTTAAATGATTTGCTAAAGGTCACACAGCTAATAAAGGGCAGGGCTTGAGACTCTGCAGGATTACAGAGCTCTTCCTTGGGGTACCACGAGGCATCTATTCATGAAGCCAATGTTTCCAGGCACTTTAAAAAGGAGTTTTCTAATTCAGAAGAGACATCTTCCAGAATGAGTGAGTCCGGCTGTATTACGAGTCAGACGTGGGTTCTACTTGACCATAACTACCGGTAAAGCATGTGGGCAGAAAAAGCAAGGGAGAGAAACTGCTGGCTTGCCAGGGCAACATAAAGAAGGTGACCTTTACAGAACAACCCAGAAGACACAGATGCTGCATGGTGGTGCATAGGGCAATGGCAGCAAAGAAAGAATTAAAGAGAAGCTAGGAGGAGGGAATGAGACAGCAAAGGGAGCAGCGAGGTGGGCAGATGTGAAAGACTGCATGGTGGTGGGGCAGGCAGGATGTGGAGGCCGGGAGGAGAGCTCCGAATGGCTAGGGAAAAGGGAAGGCGGGAGCCTGGGGGTCTGGTTCTGAATGCCCTGGGAAAGATGAGGAGGCGTGAGAGAGGGGATGGAGAAGAGATGAGAAACACACAACAGATAACCCCAGGAAAGCAAATCGCCAGAGGACTTTAATTGAAGGGGGATGGCTCCACCTCTTCATTTTACAAATGAGGAAACCGAGTTCTCACGCAGGAAGAAATGGACCCATGGTTACACATCAGTCAGCGGAATAGCTTTCGAGCCAGGTCTCTGGATTCCCAGTACAGAGTTCTTGGCAGCAGTTGCTCCTAGAACTGGCTGCATGGGGACTCCCTAAAGACCAAGGTATAAATGAAGATTCCCAGGCAATACAGATCCCAGGTCCCAGGCCAGTCTTTCTAAATCAGACTTTCTGAGAGGGTTCTCTAGTGCCTGGCTTTTAATCAGGCTTCCCCAGGTGATACACCCAGCTCTGCAAGTGGCCTACAGTTTAACCACTCTGAGATTTGGGGGGAATAAAGCAAGAATTATTGGAAAACTGAGGGGATAGGGATGACAATCACTTGTATGAAAGTCTGATGAAGGCTGGGAGGTAGGCTCCAACCATGGCCAACCTACACTTCTAAACCAGTGCTGTCCAATAGAAATAGAATGTGAACTACACATGGAATTTAAAATTTTCCTAGATAGGTCCGGGCACGGTGGCTCACACCTGTAATCCCAGAACTTTGGGAGGCTGAGTTAGGCAGATCACTTGAGGTCAGGAATTCGAGACCAGCCTGGCAAACATGGTGAAACCCCGTCTCTACTAAAAATACAAAAAATTAGTTGGGTGTGGTGGCACAAGCCTATAGTCCCAGCTACTTCGGAAGCTGAAGCACAAGAATCACTTGAATCTAGGAGGTGGAGGCTGGAGTGAGCCAAAATTGTGCCACTGCACTCCAGCCTGGGTGACAGAGTGAGAATCCTCTCCCCCAAAAAATTGTTTTTCCTAGATAAAGATTTTCTAGATAACATTTCCTAAATTTTCTATATATTTCTATTTTTCTGAAAATTTCTAGATATAGAAAATTTTAATTTCACAATTGAAGTTCTCAATTTTAGTTTACATTAAAAATGATTTTAAAAGAAACAGGTGAAATTAATTTTATTTTATTTTATTTTTGAGATGGAGTCTCACTCTGTTGCCCACGCTGGACTGCAATGGCACCATCTTGGCCCACTGCAACCTCTGCCTCCTGGGTTCAAGCAATTCACCTGCCTCAGCCTTTCCAGTATCTGGGATTACAGGCACCCACCACCACACCCCACTAATTTTGTATTTCAGTAGAGACAGGGTTTTACCATGTTGGTCAGGCTGGTCTCAAATTCCTGACCTTAGGTGATCCACCTGCCTCGGCCTCCTAAAGTGCTGGGATTACAGGCATGAGCCACCATGCCCTGCCAGGTGAAATTAATTTTGATAGTACATTTTACCTAACCTGATATATCCCTTATCACTTAAATATTTACCCAATGTAAAAAGTATTGAGATCATTTACATTCTTTTTTTCTTTTTTCTTTTTTTTTTGAGACTAAGTTTCGCTCTGTCACCCAGGCTGGAGTGCAGCGTCGAGATCTCGGCTTACTGCAACTTCCGCCTCCCAGGTTCAAGCGATTCTCTTGCCTCAGCCTCCCGAGTAGCTGGGACTACAAGCGTGTGCCACCACATCCAGGTAATTTTTTTTATTTTAAGTAGAGATGGGGCTTCACTGTGTTAGCCAAGATGGTCTCGATCTCGTGACCTGCCCGCCTTGACCTCCCAAAGTGCTGGGATTACAGGCGTGAGCCACCACCTGGCCTTACATTCTTTTTTGCATATTAAATCTTCAACATCCTGCATGTATTTCACCCTTAAAGCACATCTCATTTCACACTAGCCAATTTCAAGTGCTCAATAGCCACGTGCAGCTAGCAACTATCATCCCAGACAGCACAGAAGGAACACTTCCATCACTGCAGAAAGTTCTATTGAACAGCCCTATCCCAGACCAGAGGTTAGCAGCCTTTCAAAGTGGCAGGAAAATGTTTCAGTGCTTTTTCTTCTGGCATTAAGGGGTCTCGTAATCAAAGGAAGAGAAACATTCTTATATCTTTCTAGAAAAGACTTGTTTTATTCATTCAAGGAAAAGGACAAAAAGGAGACCAGCTATTTGTGGGATCTTTGAGATGGATTTTCTTTCATCATGGTAGAACCCAGGAAATATGTGAAATGGCTGGGCACAGTGGCTCACACCTGTAATCCCAGCACTTTGGAAGGCTGAGGTGGGCAAATCACCTGAGGTTGGGAGTTCAAGACCAGCCTGACCAACATGGAGAAACCCCGTCTCTACTAAAAATATAAAAAATTAGCCAGGTGTGGTGGTGTATGCCTGTAATCCCAGCTACTTGGGAGGCTGAATCAGCAGAATTGTTTGAACCCAGGAGGTGGAGGTTTCGGTGAGCCAAGATTGGGCCATTATACTCCAGCCTGGGCAACAAGAGCAAAACTCCATCTCAAAGAAAAAAAAAATGTATGAAGTGCACAACTCTAAGTGTGAGAAGAATTTTACAAATGTGTTTATATGTATACACCCATGTAACCCACTCAGCTGAAAATGTGACATTTCCAGCAACCCAGAAGTTTCCATTGTGGCTCTTCCCTCTTTCTTGTGAATACCACATCCCAGAAGTAACATTATTCTGATTTTCAAGATTGTTCATTAGTTTTGCCTGCTTTTAGACTTCGTATGAATGGAATCACAGTTTATACTTTCTGTGTCTGGCTTATTTCACCCAACTCAATGTCTATGGGATTTTGTTTTGTAGATCTAATAAAATCTGGCAAATTTCCAGAGGGCCCGGAAGTGCACTTCCCCTAATTTAGGCTGCTAAAAGCCCTGCCTGCCCCAATGTCATCTTATTTCTCTTATTCATCAAGGCATCAATGGCCCACAATGAAACAGGAGAATATTAGAGTCCCTAAGATTTTGGCCCCTGGAGGTCTCAGAAGTCGAGAATTTGCAATCATGCCAGGCACAGTGGCTCACGCCTGCAATCCCAGCATTTTGGGAGGCTGAGGCAGGCAGATCACTTGAGAACAGGCGTTTGAGACCAGCCTGGGCAACAAGGTGAAACCCCGTCTCTACTGAAAATATAAAAATTAACCAGGTGTGATGGTGCATGCCTGTAGTATCAGCTACTTGGGAGGCTGAGGCAGGAGAATCGCTTGAACCCAGGAGGTGGAGGTTGCAATGAGTAAAGATTGCGCCACTGCACTCCAGCCTGGGTGACAGAGCAAGACTCCATCTCAAAAATTAAAAAAAAAAAAAAAAATTGCAACCAAGCAAGACAGAAGGGATCAAGGGCTCTGGTCATGATGTGCCCTTAACAACAATCAGTGACTTATGATAGGAAGAGACAGACTCAGGGCCAAGAATGTGGCACTGAGCCTAGCAGGACTTTTTCTGACTTCCAGTTTATAGGTAATAGCCAGTGAGAAAATGAGGGCCTCCATCTGTCCTACCTCAATATCCACTGTCGATCTTCTCTCCATCTCATCTCCTTCCCTTTAAAAAGTTGTTGAAACCACTTCTGGATTTATTTTTCTAGATCTGGAGCCTGAAACCCCAAAGAAACCAAGGAACCAGTCTTCCTTCCTTTCCCCACTGACTTGTATCTGAGGGAGCTGCCTCTCTCCTTTGAGCAGCAAATCAGGAAGGCTGGTGGGGGGGCGGGTCAAAGCTGCATTGAGGGTCAAGCCACTGGGTTCTCAGATGGAAATGGCCCTTAGAAGATCTTGCTACTGCTCCCTCCTCTCTCTCTCATGGTTGCTGGGCATCAAGAGCCTTACCTGTGGCTTCTTGTCCCTCTCCTCTGGGGACGGGTCTGTTTCTCTGTATACGACAGCTTTGGTTACCAGCATATCAGGATGCTGCAGTTTGGCCTCCTTGATGGCCAAAGCCAGGGCCTGGTGGGAAAGAACAGCAAAGGATGGAACCATGAAATATCTAAGATGAGAGAGACTGTGGAGAACAATAAGCCCTCTAGTGCATAGCTGGGGAAACTGAGGCCCAGGGAGGGGCAAAGTCAAACAATTAAAGGGAGAGACTAGAGCTTGGGTCTTCTGGCTCCTACTGGCTCCCATTCAATGCCCCTTCCTTGGGGGTTTCTTATCTGAACAGGGTCAGCAAGAAGTGGACACCTTCTCTGCCCATGAGGGCAGCCATCCGTGGATAACCCGATATGGAAGGGACTGAGCACTGGGCAGTGCCACTGGGAAGAACAATCCCTACCCCCATACCTGGTCTTGATCGACATCTTCGTCCCCAGTAATGATGATTCGCTTCTCGATCCTCGTCTCAGAAAACCCTCCTTTCACAGTCTGCAAAGGGAGAGGCGGGTGAGGTCACTCTTGGGCCCTATTGGGGCAACAGCTTCAAGAGGGCACCTACCCAAAGCATCTTTCAAGGGCAGGGCTGAGAACCAGCAGTTACCTTCTCTCCTGACTTCTTCAGATTTTTTCTTTTCTGGGTTTGGACTTTGAACTACAGATTTTGCCTGGTTGCCACCACTCCCCCCAACTATCAAACCACCCTATCTAGGTCTTCCAAGCCCAGCTCCATTGCTGCCTCCCGGACACTCGTTGGCAATGCTTCCGCCTTCCTGCTTTGGTACTCCCGAGCCCTAAGTCTGTCTCGCTCACAGTTTTGGACTTCTCTGCCTGGTGCCGACCTTATGTGTGTCTGTGGCCCTGTTCACCTCACCAAGCTGCCAGCTCCTGAAGGCAGGGCCTGTATTTGTTTATCTCTGTACTCCCTCCTCCCCCACTCCCTCACCCAGTCTAACCAGGGCAGTGCTGAATGCAGATTTGTTGAATGAACACATGAATGAAATGTGAATGGTGACAAGGTTCTGCCTTAAACGACTTCAAACAATAGTACAAGAGAAAATTACATCGATGATGCTTATGACCTCTGCTGTTTTCTGAAGGCATGGGGTTTGGGCAAGCATAGGAGTAATAGCTGCGGCAGGACCTAATTGTTTGGCATGTTAAAGCACGGTGGTGTCTGTGGGGAATCCCAGCTGGAGTCAGGAGTAGACAGAAAGAAGAGGGGCTCCCAGTTGGCAGGGACTTTGGGAAGAAGAGTTTCCTGAGCTGTCTGCTATGGGCGTGGGATGTAAAGCCTCCCATAAAGCTTTCAGAGAAGTCAACATTGCTCAGTAATGCTTTTGCTGAGAGTGGGTTCTTTGTGGGGTATGTGAGAAAGTGCTGAGTCCTGCAGAGGCACAGGCAGAGCCCAGGACAGTCTGTGCATGAAGGCCCAGTGCAACTGACCAGAATTCGCCTCTGATGGCTCACCAGAGCCTCCAACTCGACCCACCTCAACGTGGCTACTCCAGGCCTCCAGCCCTGGCTAGGTGCCCTCCTGCCTTCCTCCTGGCCACACAGGTGTGGATGCATCAGCTGGCCTGCCTCCCAATGAGCCCTTGTCCTCATTGCTGGGTCACCCAGGAAGGCTTCCCTCCTTTGTCCCTGCCTCTTTCTGCCTGGGCTCTGACTCACACCCTGGTCCAGGCCCTCCCCACCAGGCCTGAGTTATTTATTATCTGTTTCTCTCCACACTTCTGCCTCTTCTTTCTCCCACCTATCTACATATCCCAGTGGATCTGCTATTCTCTCCCTAAATCTATTTTCACTGGGTTACTCTCCAGTCTAAAAACCTTCCTGGCTTTCCAATCTCCCCAAGACCCAGATTCTCCAGAGTCAAATGTGTCCTGGTATTTGTGTTATTTGCTCTATATTCTGCCTACCTGCCTCCATTGCAACCTAATTTTCCAGTTATACCCCCTACATGTGCTTCTCACATCCCATAAACAGGCCTCACTTACGGCTACATTCAATAGCCCCTGGCACAGAGGACAACACAAATAAAGTTGACCCTCACTGACATCTGCTCAACGAACAAACAAATAAGCAAACACACAGTTTCTGCTTCCCTCTTCTGCTTCACTTAGAACACCTGTACCTTTCTTCTCCTCCCTCAGGTGTCCTGCCTGGCTTTCCAAGACTCCACTCAGTCCCCACTTCTTCCAGGAGATGCTTCCTGACTCTTGCAGGGCCTCCCATAGCATCACCCCATCTAGATTCCTCCAGCACTTTCCATCTACAAGGCGCACATGCCATGGTTCACAGTTACTTCAAAGAGATGAGTATCGTGCCCCCAGCCTGGCTGTCCATGCCGTAAGGGAAGGGCCCGTGCCTAGAACAACATGTGGCACAGGACAAAGCACAGAGCATTCCAGAAACTGGCAAACACTACAGGCTTTCTCTGTCCGCTTTACATATGGCGACGCCAAAGCAGAACAACAGTTATGACCTTCTCGCCTGCAGCCCCGCTGGGGCCATGGGGTGCCCTGCTGCTACTCACTTTGGTAACATGGGTGGTGGTGGAGGTTGAGAGGGTTTCCGCAGTGGCGCCGTAGGTGCTGGTGAGGACATCTTTCCCGATGATCTGCGGAATATAACCACCCCCCACCCAGGGTGTCAGGTAAGGACACTGGGCTCTGGAGGGGTGGGGGCGGGGTGGGGTAAAGGGCCCCGTGAAGGTGACGTTTCGAAGCCAAGATGCTTTGAACCATTAAGAATTCAAGAATACTGGAATCTTCAGAAACCTATACCCAAATTTCAGATTCCTAGACGCCAAGATTCCTGAGGTCCAGAATCCTAACAATACCCTAGAATTTAAGAATCCTGGCATCATGGAAGAATGACCAAAGGGATCCAAGGTGGAAACAGAATCTTCCTGATGCCCCATCCTGTCACAGCCAGGTGCACACTCTCTGCGGAGGTAAACAATGAGAACCACAGACTTGGAGAATGCAAGAGCTGGAAGAGACCTCACAGTGATGGACTCAGGGTTACCGGGCAGGCACCAACAGAGGCAGCTCCAGATTCCAAGCCTCTGGCCTCCTAGTCCATTGCTCTTCCTGGTTAGTAGGGAGGGCAGATGCAAAAGAACCATCAGAGGCACCACCAAGGTGAGGGGCTGCTTCACCCTCACATGCCGCCAGTGCCCTGCATACATGTGTGGGTTGGTGGGGAGAGGGCCACTCATGAGAGTCTAGCGGACAGCAGGGAGCCCTGTGGCATCTGAAAAGGGTCCAGTTTCCTGGCTCAGCATCTAGAAGTGTACCTTCTGGGCTCAATGCTGCACTTTCTGACAGCCATACATGGGTCCATGCCCATATTCTCAGTGCGGAGTCCCCTAGCCTGAGCTGGCCTTGCCCACTTACCGGAGAAAGAGAACGGATTTCCGTGGCCACCGTCTGTGGGCCTGGGATCATGGCAGCTGCCCCCTTCCCGGACTTGAGACTGCTCTCCTGGGGAAACAATAGTGCTCAGATGGCCAGCTCTCAGGCGGATGGGCCCCCAGGAAGGCCGGAGCACATGGCCACGTAGCTCTCACAACCACAAGGTTGAGTAGTAACAGTAGAAGCAAAGGACTGAAGGCATCATTCAGTTCCACCTCCTCTCATTCATCCCTCGCTCACTCAGGCACATACTCATTCACTTGCACACTCACTCATTCAACAAACATTTACAGAGAGTCTGGCGTTAGGAACACTGCAGTGATCAAGACATGGCATTCTTCTCCAGAAGCACTAGCAGAGGAGTTGCCAGATTCAGGCTCATGTCCCCCCCCGCCACCTTTGAGCCACATGACTCGGGGCAGAGCCACTTCCTCTCTATGCACCTTGCAGATACATCTGTAAAAAGGGTCCCCTGCCCCAATCCCACAGAGAACCTATGAAGCTAATGGAGTAGAAAAGGTTTTGCAAACCAAAATACATAGGATAAATATAGGGGCATAAGCTGTCTATTTAGAATGTAATAATAATGACTTTCTGAGTGCTTGCTACGTGCTAGGCTAGTGTTTTAAGAATGTTACATGCCTTATCTCATTTAATTCTCATAACACCCGCAGGGCATTATTTTAAATATTCCTGATTTACACATGAGAAACTGGAGGACGAGAGAAAGTTAAGTGTTCAGTCCCCCAGCAAGTTAGTGGTAGAGCTGGAACTTAACTCCACGTTGTCCGACTCTAAGTCCAACACGCTCTTCAGCATGCCACTCTGCCCTAGTGACTCTTTCTCTTCAGACAGCTCTCCTGGCCCTACCTTAAATTCTAACTGCTAGAGCTTCCTGGAATTGTCCCTGGACTCACTGCCCCCCATCTGGCCAGGGCCCAGCTGCCTGCTTCTACCTCCTACTTTCTGCACCATCTCAGGGCTCAGCCTTGTCTGTCCAGGGGCCCAGAACTGTGTCCATTCTGCAGGTCCTCAGTGGCTTGACCTCTGGTTCTGGTCCGGGCATGGCACTAGATGTGGACCTCTGCCTACCAAGGGGCAGGTGGGGACAGAAACTCACTGACTTTCCCCTGCCCCTCCCACACCTGCCTGCAGCTGAGGCTGCCAGCAGCCTGGTTCCTTGGTACTGCACCCACAAGGCACGTTCCAGATGCGCCTGCAGTCTCAGAATATGGCCCAGCAGCAGGCCTTCCAAGGGCGGTGTCTGGGCTCAATACTTCCTTTCCCCTGGCTTAGGCAAGAGCCACTAGCCTCTCTGAATCCTAGCATCATTTTGGGCCTTTCTCCCTTAAAGCCTCTTATTCTCTCTTTGTTCTGTCTTTCCCAGGGCAAAGCCTCACCTCCGCCTTCACACTGAAAACAGGGGCCACCACTAGGGACATCAATCATTCAAAACAAGGTACCCTCTGCTCCTCCCTTCCTCTCCCGTATCCTTGGCCAGTCCAGTCACCTGCCTCCAGGAGGAGCGGTTCCTCTCCCTGACCAAGGCAAACTCAGCCCTCTGTTCCTCCACACTCAGGCTCTCTTCACTCGCCACCCTCTCTCTAGGCTGCCTCAGCTACTCAAGGGCTTCTGCTGCATCATCGAGGTCAAAGTCCTCTATCCCTTCACCTGTAGCTCAGATCTTTCTTGGATCTTAGGCCTTTAAAACCAGTTGTGTCCTAGACATTTTCCCCCGGAAATGTCCCACAGGCACCTCAGACTCATCCGATCTCGAATGGAATTCACTGCTTCCTCCAGTTCCAACACACGCTTGTCACTACAGAGCACCCTCCCCTAGCGCTCTGTTTATATCAGCAGTTCTCCAACTTCAGAGGCATCAGCTGGGGGGCTTGGAAAAACACTCACGGCTAGGCCCCACCCTAGAGTTTCTGAGTCAATAGGTCTAAGGAGGAGCCCAAAGGATCTGCCTTGCTAACAGGTTCCTGGAACCACATTTTGAGAACCACCGGCTAGTGAACAGTGTCACAAGCTCATCTTTCCTCTTGTCCCCTGAACATTCTACAAACAACCAAATCCTGTGCTTTCTCCCCTCCAGGCATCCCTTAACCCTGACCCCTTCTCTGTATCCACCTCCTTGCACTCCAGTCCCACCCTAGCCTGGGCACTGGCATCTAAGCTGGTTCCCTGCCTTCTCTCTCTGTCTTTCCCAGTGGCTTGTGGGCCCCAGAGCCCAGGGATATTCCCTTCTTCAAGCTGGGTTCACAGAGCCTGCTACGGAACTGCACACATCATGGGTGTCCAATCAATATTTGTGGAAGGAAGGAGAGAGAGAGAGAAGGAGGGACGAATTTTTGGCTCCAGTCCCTCCTCCACACACGTTGCTAGAATAATCTTTCTAAAACACAGAAACACATATCTGATGACATCACGTTCCTAATGTAAAAACTTAAGTGATTCCCTATTTTCTGCAGGAGAGAGGTTTGAACTTGGTATATGACATCTGAGGGCCTTCAAGCTCTGGCCTCGCCTTCCTTTCCAGCCTCCTCCCCTCCACCACCTCCCACCCCCTGGCTCCTCCTCCATGTGCTTGACATCTGGCTTTCCTGACCATTTGCCCTTCCCCAAATGCTACGCTCCTTCCCTTCTGCCCTTTGCACTTGCTTTTCCCACTGTCTAGAATGCCTTCTCCTGGGACTGTACCTTAACTTGTCCTTCAAGCATAGCTCACTCAAATGTCCCTGCCTAGGGAAAGCCTTTCCCGGCTCCTCCTGTCACAGATGTCACCCCATAGCTGTCCTCCTGGTGGCCCCTAGGGTAGCGTTATTACACTGTCCCATGAAGGCAGGAAAGAAGTAGCAGCAGCTCACATCTACAGACCACTTATTATGCACCAGGCCCTGTTCTCAGGGTGTTGCACAGGTTGCTTTGGTTCCCCCTCACATCAGCCCTTTGAGGTATGTGCTATTCCTGCCCTCTACCCGCACCCATTTTACAGAAGTGAAAACTGAGGCTTGGAGAGGTTCAGATAACTTGTCCAAGGTCATCCAGCCAGGAAGTGGGACAGCTGGGCCTTGTTCTCCACTGTAAGCCCAGAATCTAAATACAGGGGCATAGCACATTAGAGGTGCTCATGACAGTCATTTGAATGAATGAATCCCAGCAGGCACTATTGTTTCTTCAACTATATCCCCAATACCAGGCAGATAGTACAGACTAATAAATGTTTTTGGAACAAATGAATGGATGGATGGATGGATGGATGAGTAAATGAATGGTATAAGTGCCTGCTTACCATATGAACGGATTTAAAGTTAGCCCTACAAACATCCCAATGACATGTGGTGAAGGACTGAGGGAAGAGGAGGAATTGAGTGACCAGGGAAAGTTGTGCAAGCTGGTAACTAGCTTGGGCTTATTGATCTTAAAGTTTCTGTGTATTTAAAACCTATCTGCTGGCTAGTCTAGACTGATGGAATTCCCTTCCTGTGTATATGTCGGGGGGTTGGCAAGAAACAGTATCTTGAAAACAACTTCTCAATGGCTCAAGATAGAGCTGGCTCCAGCATCCCTACCTTCCCTAGACCCAGCAGCAGCCACAACCGCAGCCCCAGCCCCACGCGGCTGAGGTTCACCATGGTCAGGATCAAGGGAGCAGAGCAGAGCGGCTGGGGTTGAAAGTGGAGCTTCTGGTGTCAGAGCACCTGGGGATAACCTGGCACTAACACTTACTGATTGTGTGACCTTGGGTAAGTCGCTTTATCCCTCTGAACTTCAGTTTCCTCATCTGTAGAGGATGTGGAGGGAAGAGCACCCACTGAGATTATCCACTCAGGAATCTCAGTACATTGCCTGGAACCACAGCCTGTGTGCTGACTGCTGTGTTCTGTTTAATCACGAAAGGAGCTAGTGATGAAGAGGTCTCTTAGAGCGAACTGCAGAATGGGGATTATTGTTTTACAGATGAGGACACCTGAAGCCAAGGACCTTCCTTAATGGGTCAGACAGCAAATATGTAGCAGAACCATGACCTCCCTCAACAGGCGGTCCCAAAAATCCTGTTTCCAACTTAGGGTCACCGTACACCATCTGCTGACCAAGGCAAGGAAGTGGTCTAAGACACGAGAAAATATGCAGCCACCCAGATGGGTCCACAGGAAGGACTCCAGCCTCACCTTCAGAGTGGAGGTGAGGTGAGCCAATGAAATCTCAATGCAAGATGAGATTCGTGGGTGCCAATAACCAAAGAGGACCATCCTCTCTCTCCCACTGCTGTGTCTGAGACAGTCTAGATAACTGACTCAGGGATTCCACCACCCATATTATTCACTTTGGAAAACTGAGGCCTGACTGTATGTCCTGCGGCAACTAAAGCCCCAGACAATAAACGGCTGACTTATGTCCCACACCTGAGGCAGTGAGAGCAGCTCACGGCTTCCTGAAGCAGCCAGGTGGTGTTAGCTTGTTCTCTGGCTGTTTGGCAGGACAAGGGGGCTGGTCAGAGAGGGAAGCCTCCTGGGTTCAACTTACCATGGTGGTCGATATGGTCTCCGTGGTGATGGAGGGAGTGGTTGTTATGAACTCCCTCCCCACTGAGGTACTCCCATCAACCTGCTGACCAGAGGAGGAGTCGTTAGAGCTGGGGAGAGCCAGGTACCCCTGCAGCATCTGTCACCTGGGCTCACGGCCTCCCAGTTACAAAGCGACAGGCTGTGTGAGGGAACACCACTGGCAGGGGGCTGCACACAGACCAGCTCACAGAGGGGCAACAGGCCTCATTACATTCCAACCAACTTATGTGATAAAGAAAAAATAATCTCAGAGTATCTGGCAAACTCTATCCAAATTTCAGTGCGTGTAATCTTTGACCTATCAATCTCTGGGTACCGGCTCTTTGGATATAACCTTTGAAAAGTTTGCCCAGAAGTACGAGCAAGGAAATTCACAGCATTGCTCATCATGAATTGCACAAGACAAAAACAACCACAGGGCCTGCGAATGGGAGACAGAGAAATAAATTAGGATTTACCTCCTAAGTGAAATGAGGAAGAGTAAAGTGGGGCTATATATGCCAACAAGGAGTGATCTCCAAAACAATTACTAAGAAAAAAGGTAAGGTGTAGGAAAAGATCACCTCTGTGTAAACATTTTTTAAATATATAGAGATGTAGCTATCTGTGTTGGAATCAGTTTCTATTTTTTTCTGGGTGGTATTATAAGAAAAATCTCATTTTGTTCTGCTTGAATTGTATAACTGTAAACTTTTTTTGTTGTTTTGTTTTTAGGTCAACAAGGGTTACTGGGCTGTGGGATCTAGGGCTATTTTTAGTTTCTTTATACTTTTCTGTATGAAAACACGACAGAAACACGTATTACTAAAACGAAACAGGACAGAGGGGGAAAGCAGCTTGCCCAAGGTCACACAGCTCATGAGAACTCAAGAGTCCTGACCTGTAGTAGGTGGCTTCATAAACTCCTACCATCATTCTAAGAGTGGAAGAAAAAATTCTGGGAACAAAAGAACTGCTCATGTTGTATTGGTTTATGTCTTATTTCAGTTTCCTCTCTTTTTTTTTCCTTGTCACCTAGGCTGGAATGCAGTGGTGCAATCATAGCTCATAGTTCACTGCAGCCTCGACCTCCTGGGCTCAGGTGATCCTCCTACATCTGCCTCCCAAGTAGCTGGGACTACAGGCATGTGCTACCACGCCCAGCTAATTTTTGTATTTTTTGCAGAGACGGGGTCTTGCTATATTGCCCAGGCTGGTCTTGTACTCCTGGACTCAAACGATCTGCTTGAGGCGATCTGCCCCAGCTTCACAAAGTGCTGGGATTACAAGTGTGAGCCACTGTGCCTGGTCTTATTTCAGTTCTTGAGACAAATGTTAGTCTCAGAGCAAAAAAGCTCCTAGCATTGTAGCTCTTCTGGCCAGGAAAAACCAAAAGGGCATCTATCAGATCCTCAATCTTAATTTCCTAGGTTTAAAAATCACAGAAGGAGTGTAGGGAATGCATTAGAAGTCGTGAACCTAGGCACATCACCTCTGCATGGTGGCTTTCTCCAGGGTGGGCAGGATGCTTCCTTTTGTCAAGACACATGATTTTTGGTTTTCTTCCTTCACTTTGTTCATTTTACTGATCTGATGTGGAACTCGCATGCATAAAAAATGACCCAGGATGAGCTATTCTGACTGAAGCTAAATTAGGATCTCTCCCTCTTCTCTCCCCAAGCAGCTCCTGGAATGCCTCAAGAAACCTCTCCAACTCCTCCAAGCAATGTGAGCACCAAGGTCCTAATCCACTAGCCAGTACAGTCCTCCCAATATGTCCTGGAGGAAGGGGTAGACGGGGTCATTCCCATTTTATGGATGGCTAAATAGAGGCTTTAAGAGGTATGGTCTTCCCAGGACAAGAACTTGCTTTACCTCTCGCCCCTCCCCAGAGCTCAGAGAGGACACAGGCAAAGAAGAGCATCAGGATTAAAACAGGAGTTCCAGGGAAGCTGAGATTAAAAGGATTGGCCAAGGGGTTTGGCCACAGCAGTGGGGACCCTGCCACTAAATGCCCAGTACCCATGCTCAGGGTACGTTGGAAGGCACAGGTTACCTGGGTGTTATCCATAGCGGAGACTCTGGTCTGCAGTACGGCCTCTGGCTCAATCTTCTTTCTAATGGCCAGACTGCTGACAGTCATGGTTTCTGTTTTCACGGGCTGTAGGGAAAGTAGGGAGAATGCTCTGTAACTGAAGCCCTGGCATGACCCTTGCTCACAGGCAAATGCAGTGTGGGGTCTACAGATATCTCCTATCCCCACAGCTGGCCACGTCTCTGGAAGGGTACCCAGGTCAGGGTAAAAGATATGTGGTATGATATCACAGACAAACAGCACATGAGGAGAGCCAGGACCACCACCAGGACCAGGCAGACCTGCCCCACGTTTCTGTGCCACACACCCTCATGGTGGCTACATGCTGTTTTTAGGCTACAATTAGAACATCTACTATTTCATTAACATACTCTATGCCAGGGCCCGGGCTAACTGTTTTCCTTGTATATATAATATCACCGAATCCTGAATGACTTCAATGGTGAGCTTACCACCTTTCAGCTGCTTCAGCTGATCTCTTCTTTTTCTTTTTTTTAGACAGAGTCTCCCTCTGTCGCCCAGGCTGGAGTGTAATGGTGCAATCTCGGCTCATTGTAACCTCTGCCTCCCAGGTTCAAGCAATTCTTCTGCCTCAGGCTCCCAGGCAGCTGGGACTACAGGCCTGCACCACCACACTGGGCTAACTTAGGTATTTTTAGTAGAAACAGCATTTCACCATGTTGGCCAGGCTGGTCTCGAATTCCTGACCTCAGTGATCCACCTGCCTCAGCCTCCCAAAGTGCTGGGATTACAGGCGTGAGCCACCTCGCCCAGCCTGGACTATTCTTTAGAGCAGCCACACATCTAGGAGGCCTACAGCATCCAGGCAGGAGAGGCCAATGAGTGAAGAGGGTTTGTTGAGGACTGGGGTGAAGTAGAGAGCATGTGGGATCTATCTGGGTGTGGCCAACTGTGACTGTGACCTCTGAGTGTCTTTTTCTTTTTTTTTGAGATGGTATCTCGCTCTGTTGCTCAGGCTGGAGTGCAACGGTGAGATCTCTCAGCTCACTGCAACCTCTGCCTCCTGAGTTCAAGTGATTCTCCTGCTTCGCGACCAGAGTAGCGGGACTACAGGTGCGTATCATCATGCTCAGCTGACTTTTGTATTTTTAATAAAGACAAGCTTTCACCATGTTGGCCAGGCTTGTCTTGAACTCCTGACCTCAGGTGATCCACCTGCCTCAGCCTCCCAAAGTGCTGGGGATTACAGCTGTGAGCCACCGTGCCCAGCTATTTTGTTTGTTTGTTTGTGTGTGTGTTTTAGAGACAAGGTCTCACTCTGCTGCCCAGGTTGGAGTGCAGTGGCATGATCTCACTGGAACTTACTGTACCTCCAATTCCTGGGCTCAAGTGACCTTCCTGCCTCAGCTCCCAAGTAGCTGGGATTACAGGCACAAGCCACTGTGCCTGGCTGAAGGGGATTCTTATAGATGGTTGCAACCCTGTAACCCAGCCATTCATCCAGTTAATTATCTGTTAGTGCCTAGTATATGCCAGGCCTAGAGGAGCTGCCACCTGGTGGGAAGGCAGGCTCATCAGCCACTGACCTGACAGCTTTGGATAGTGTTGGAGCATAGGCACTACAGGGGAAGGGGGCCAATACTTCTGCCCAGGGTGATCAGGAAATCCCCTGCTAGGAAACTGGCCTTTGAACTTGGTCCTGGAACATGACAGGTTTGTAAGGCACAGAGAGGGAGAAAAAAAACCCTTCTGCTCAGAGACTACAGCATGAAGTGAGAGCCCAGAGGAGCTAAGCTCATATTTTAATGCCTGGAACGTTGGGGAAAGGAGAGTGTGGGACAGAGGCTGGGTCTAGAAGAGATGAGGAGGCAAAGAAATAACATGGGCAGACGTGCCTTAGAGAGATCCCTTTGCAGCTCTGCAGAGGAGGCCAAAGAGAGGCCCAGACACAGTCTGTGCCTCCTCAATGACCATGTCTCCTCTCTTCTGGGAGCTTCCATTACCACCCTGAGACCCCAGGGCCAGATGACCCCAGAGAAATAAGCCTGGGCCCCCCAGATCAGGAAACACCATTCAACTTTCAGACCAGGCTGCAGGAGCCCCCGAGAGTCCACAGACACATGCTCTCTGCAGGTGCCATGCAACACAGGCGGGGTGGGGGCATCACATAAGACCAGACGGCCTGTCATTGCTCAACCTCAGCAAGCGACGGGGTCACAGGGTTAAAACACCAAGGAGCGCGTGTTAGGGGTGAACCGAGACGGCAAACATGCGAGCACAGAACCATGCTGTTCTGCGGAGGGGCAGTCATGCAACATGAGACAGAGCTTCAGGCTGCAGGCTGGGTGCTCCGTCTTCTCATGGGTGGCCCGGGGCCCTCTGAGCATGCGGTGCCTGATGGACCCAGCTGTTGAGGAAGCTCCACTGTACCTCAAACTGGGGCATATCCGGGGTGGAGCAGGCCCCTCGATCCGGGCTGTCTTCTATGCCCCCAGACTCATCATCCTGGCTGGGGGCCCCCTTGTTGAGATCCCGGGAGAACACCAGGCCCTCAGTGTCTGAGTCGCTTTTGTCCCGGTCGAGCTCAGGCAGGCTGCGGGAGAAGTCTTCAAAGGCGCTGCCGTGGTAGTCACCAATGACCGTGAAGTCCACCTCAGCCTCCAGGCTGGACGTAGAGCTGACTGTGATGCTGGAGCACTTGCGCTCAATGGCCAGGTGGTTGTCCTTCAGGAATACCGCGTCCTTCTCCTGGTCCTGGTCCTCGTCGCCCGTGTCACTCTCTGGGGCCCGGGGACGTGGTGGTTTGACTTTCTCCTCGGAGCCCTCCCTCAGCCCTGCTCTCTATGGCCAGATAAAATCAAAAGGATAGGGATGTGGGGTGGGGAGAGAGAGAGAAGAGAGAAATCAAGATGGTGAATGTCAGGAGAAGCCTCGGGGCTATGTCGACATCCCGAATGGAAGAGCAGGCCAGGAAACAAAAAACACCCCCACAAAATGTTCCTTGAAATCATAACAAGCTTAAAAAAAAACCAAAAACAACTCAAGAGTGGAGATGCCCCTTTCCGAGGGCCTCACACTGATGGCAAAAGCAAGTACAAAGCAAACGTCCTGCCAGTGAGTCCTGGACAGGAGGCTCCATCCAAGGGTGTTGAATCTGGGAGCTCACTGGAAGCGGCATTGCGCAAAAGGCAGGGATGGAAGCCCGGACCCCAGGCCCATCCGTGCAGGCGGGCGTTGAGAAACAGAAACTAAGGAGGGATTCAGGGAGACCCAGGAAGGGAATGCAGAGAGGTTGGAGCCAAGAGCTTTGAGAAACAAAAGAGAAAGCCAACATATTTGTCAATTCCACTGAGTCTCCATGGGAGGGGTCAGCATCAACTAGAGGGAGGAGCAATTCAGGGTCAGGCCTTTTGGGCAAGAGCTTCTTGGGAGCTGAGTGTTATGCCGGCTCCACCCTGAGCACCATGAGTGGACCACAGGCAGGTCAGAGGCTCTGGTCCCATCAGTGAAATTGACAACAGCGGGCCAAGGCAGTGCCTGGGGGAACCAGCAACTCTTGTCCGACATACATACCTCTCAACTGGCCTGTCAGGGATTAAACACCACACACACATGTTTGGCTGGTTCATGACATTCTTTTAAAAGACCAACCTAATACCCATGAAAGATTTTTAAAGAACGTGGCTTCTGGTTCTAGGGATTCAGTGGGCTTAGACATTCACTTGCAAAGCGAGACTCCATTTAGCCAGTTCCTAGAAGGTTGAGAGGTGTGAGGGAGACATTCCAGACAAGCCAGAGTTGAGCAGCAAAAGAGGTGCTGCCACAGCAGGTGGGAACCTAAGGCGGCGATGCATCCTGGCCAGGTGAAGGTGACTGGGTCATCAGGGCACAGAGGGACTGCAGAGACCTGAGGGCCTGAGGGGCTGGCGAATCTCAGGAGCCCCCCCTTCCCAGGGGTGTTGGCTGCTAAGTTGGTGGAGCATTTCTCTTCCCTGACCGCATCTCCGGATTTGTTCTGGATTAGAGAAGACAGTTAGTCTTAAGGAGGCAGAAAGAAACTTGGCACGGGGACTGAGAGGGAACCAGAAGCGAAGGATGGAAACCTCTGGACTGTCAGCTTTCCCAAGGCAGGAGAACCAGGGATGGGAAAGGATGAAGAAAGATCGCTGGACAAGCCAAGCAAGATAGGCAGGAACTCAGCAGGTAGGAGCGGCAAGGCAAAGCAGGTATGTCATTTGCTGATGGTGGTGCCACCTTCTCCATGGGGGTTGTGTGACCCTCTGAGCACCAGGTCACACCAAAAGCTGAGGGTCTTTGTGGCCAAGCTAACATGGGCCAAGCGGAGAAGCCCATCATTCAGCCTGAGCTACACCCAGGCCCGTTTAGGGAAATGAACTCACAGGGATGGATAAGCAGCCTCTGGTTGCAGTAATGACGAGGGGCCACTGAAACATGCTTCTAAGAGCTACAGAGCATGCGGCCAGCCCCCATGGGTGGGGAGCAGCAGTGGGGGTGGGGGCTCACGCGGCCAGTTACCCCAGTTCCAGTAGCTTCTGCCAGTGTGGTTTCACAGCCCGAATCGGGGGACATGGGCCCCAGTTCTGTGTGTACTTCCTGGTGGGATGTAGAAGTGTCCTCCCCAACGTGCCTGGTAGCCAGGGGCATCACTGTGGCTTTGGGGCCAGCAAAGTCCTCTGGGGGCTGGAGCTGGACAAAGCCCAGGTCTGAGAGCATACTCCACTGCCACTCTGCAGTTCCCACAGAGGCCTTTGATGACAAGTCATTTGGAAGGGCCTTTGCATCACCCTGGCTTATTCGGCGAGTTTCAGCTCCATGGGTCTCAAATATCCGAATTTTATTGGCCACTGAGGTCTTGCTAATATCTTCTAGGGAGCCCTCTTGGCCCCCAGCCTGGAAAGAGGTCCTCTCCCTTTGCTTCCCTGAAGGGAACACTAACCCCAAAGGTATGCGCCCCTCACCTTCTTCAGGGACTACTCTGGGCTTTCTGCTGGTAATGGGAGGTGGCCTGCGCTCACCTCCTGTGTTAGGGGACACCACAAACCTTGCTTGGTCCTTGGGCTCTGGACTGACTTTCGAAAGATGGACATGTCTGAGAAAGGGCTCCCTGAGCTCTGAGGGCTCCCCTGACCCATGGGAGGCTGGGCTTGGAGAAGCTTCCTCCTGAGCTGCCAGGTCCTCTGAATGACTGGGGGAGGCCGGCAGAGGGATGATCACCTCCATGTGAAGAAATGCTGAGGCCTCGCAGTCTTTCAGCTCAGCCCCACCTTTCTGGGTAGGAACTGCTCCCCTGTCTTTGGGTGGGAAGTTGCCTCTGTCTGGTTTGGCTGGCTTCCTGACATTCAGAGGGACGGCCCGAGGAAGGGTGCAGGCCTGGGGGTCGGGACGCATACCTCCTCCTCTGTGAGGAGGGCGGTTCTTCAGTTCCTCTGTGGGACTTTTCTCAGCCTTTACCAGCAAATCTCCACTCATGGGGGCCTCCTCCTCACAGGCTGTGCTGGCTGTTGGGTGGGTAAACGATCCTTCCACTCCCCACTGGACATCTTCGTAGTCTCCAGCAAATGTCTGTGCTGCAGTAGGTCCCTTCAGGTCACCAGGTCCTCCATGGTTCTTAAGGGTCCTTGCCCCTTCCTCTGGGGAAGCCATGTGGGCTTTGTCCTTGCTCCTGCTAGAAGCGGTGGCAGAACCCCTCAGGTCTGAGGAATTCGGTGATGGCCTGGGCTCACCTCCAGGAGGGGCATCCAGGCGCCCTTGTCTCTCCTCTAGGGGTAGGGGGAAGACTTGGTCTTCTAAGTCTTTTTCTTCATAGTTTAAATAGAAGCTCCTCTCTGCAAAGGAGGTATCAGTTTCGTCGCTCGACTCAGCTCTGACTTCTGTGTGGACTGGATCCAATAGAAATGACTGGAGTCCTCCCTTGTTGGAGGCTGAAGAGAGGATGTCCACCTCTGCTGGCCTGGTCCCTGGAGCAGTGGGCCTCCCACAAGTGTGGGGCTCCTCCAACCCCTTTCTCAGCTCTGTCTGGCCCTCCAGCTGACCATCTGACATGCAGCGGTTCCTGATGGTTGCCTCTCTAGTATCTGCCCTGAGCTCAGAGCCCTCAAGGAGCTTTTCTGCCAATGTGTGGCCTGATGCCAGGGCAGCCCCTTCTGGGCCTTCCCTAATCCAAGGGACTTCCTCCCACACTGACTCAAAGTCTTCAGGACTTGCAATCATTCTTCCTCGTTGCTGGGTGTTTGCTCTTCTGGTTCCCACCATTTCTTCCATGGCCACTTCCACTTTGAACTTGTCCACCAGAATGTCTACCTTGGAGAGTCTGCCGTCGGCAAGGATACCAGCAAGGTCTGCCTGCCTTTCTTCCTGCTGCGTGGTGGTCACTTTTAGGAGACCGAGATCTTCTGGCCTAGTGTACTGTCTTTCTATAAATACCCAATGCTCTGAACCCTGCGTTTCAATTGGAGCAAGAAGAGTTAACATGAAATATCAGGCACCTGAAAAATGGGTGTTTTTCCCTTTGTAAGAGGGGAACAATCTACCATGGAAAGGTTTGACTCTGGGACAGCACATCCCTAGAACTGGCTGGGGAGAGGAAGGCATGACAGTGCCAGCCATTCTCATCGAGGTCACTCTTCCCCATCAGGCACGTGATAAATTATTGACCAATTTTCCTCAACCACTGACCCCAACTTAATAAAATGGGATGGGGTATTATGCCTTCCCCCATGTCAGCCATGAGGAAATGGAGATCCACGGATGGGCCAGGACCCTTCCTCTTCCTCTTTTTTTTTTTTTTTTTTTTTTTATTTTTAGTAGAGATGGGGTTTTGCCCTGTTGGCTAGGCTGGTCTCAAATTCCTGATCTTGTGATCCTCCCTCGGCCTTCCAAAGTGCTGGGATTACAGGTGTGAGCAACCACACCTGGCCCCTCTTCCTCTTTTAATAACATAACTGCCACTGTCAGAGGGGGAGGTAGTTTTTGTTATGTGGCATCTTTAAATGTTAGAGCCGAAAGTACTCTTACGATGTTATCCAGTCTCATCTCCTCATGGTGTAAATAGGGAAACAGGCCTGGAGAAGGTCAGTGACTTGCCCAAGGTCACTGTTAGGAGAAGACAGAGTCAGGAAAAGAAAGCCTGATTTTTGAGGCTGGAGATCTTTTCTAACTTATTTCACAACCACAGGATATGGGTGCCAACTATGATCTAACGTCAAGTTGAAGGGATGCATTAAGTTCCATAGGCCACAGCCTGAAATCCAACCTTTGTAAGAGGGCTTCTGGGAAGAAAGCAGAGTAGTTGTGGAGATACCACATGGCCAGGTTAGTGCCAGGCATCACAATGGCTTAAACAGCTTGAACGCTGTGGGGTTCAATCTAAAAGAAACAAATACCAGGGCCCATTCTAATTCTAACAAACCCCATCAAAAGAGCAGAAAAGGACTGACCAGAATGCATCAAGGAAGGGAGAAAGCTAAAGATCTAAGCATCATCGTGCATCAAAAGCACCAGAGGCCGGTGTGGTGGCTCACGCCTGCAATCACAGCACTTTGGGAGGCCGAGGTGGCCAGATCACGAGGTCAAGAGATTGAGACCATCCTGGCCAACATGGTGAAACCCTGTCTCTACTAAAAAGAACAAAAAAATTAGCTGGGTGTGGTGGCAGGCACCTGTGATCCTAGCTACTCGGGAGGCTGAGGCAGGAGAATCATTTGAACCCAGGAGGCAGATGTAGCAGTGAGCCGAGATTGCGCCACTGCACTCCAGCCTGGCAACAGAGTGAGACTCCATCTCAAAAAACCAAACCAAAACAAAAAACCAAAAGCACTGTCAGGCCATCTCCCAATGGCTTCTACCTCCCCCAAGAGTTCATCAAACAATGCCTGGGAGGGGATGATACACTTCTAAAATGGTTAGAAAAGCAGGAAGGTCACTGGGTTTTTCATCTTCTTGTAGCCACAGGATACTTCCCACAAAATTTTAATGGAAGTCTGGGATGTGACAGAAATACAGAGCTGCCCTGGTGAAGGTGGGGGTGTGGGCGGCCTTGGTGCCCTGAGGTAACTCCCTCCTTGAAATCATTGCCGCAACTAGAGCCCCTCATGATGCAGATATGGAAACTGAGACCGGGAGAAGCATCTTGCCCAAGGCCACACAGGGAGCAAGTGGAAAGGCAGGCCTCGAACTCAGTCTCTGATGCCAAGTTCTGTGAAGTGTGTCCTCTCCACCCTACCATAACCACCTCCACAGGGAGACGTGCCCAAAACTGCTCCTGGCAGCAGGAGGGGGAAGGTTTATATGACCTTGGGCTCCTTTTCAGGTTATGACTTCATGAGGACTCGGTTCATCCCACCCCCCCTGGGAGGAGTCTGTCAGATCCCATAAGATCTGACAAATTTTGAAGGACCAAAACCCTCTGTTCGCCACTGCATTTTGGCAAAATCTCTCTGATTGCCAGGGAATCAGAACCCATTAAGATAATCTTGTCCATGGGAAGAGAGATAAAAGGAAGGGGGAGGCCGGGCGTAGTGGCTCACACCTGTAATCCCAGCACTTTGGGAAGCCGAGGTGGGCAGATCACAAGGTCAGAAGTTTGAGACCAGCCTGGCCAATACGGTGAAACCCTGTCTCTACTAAAAATACAAATATTAGCCCAGCGTGGTGGCACATGCCTGTAGTCTTAGCTACTCGGGAGGCTAAGGCAGGAGAATTGCTTGAACCCAAGAGGCAGAAGTTGCAGTGAGCTGAGATCACACCACTGCACTCCAGCCCAGGCGACAGAATGAGACTCTACAAAAAAAAAAAAAAAAAAAAGGAAGGGGGAAGGTCTAGGAAAAGTCTGAGGTGAGTTTCTAAGTTTTTACTTCTGGTCATTAAGCCTTCAGGACCACAGCTCCTGAACCATCCCAAAAGAATGTGCTTTGAAAGCCCACAGAAGCCAGGTCCCTTTGCTCATCTCCTTGAGAAGTGGGTTCCTTCGGCTGCCTCCATTCCAGCTGTACTCACATCATCTACCTGGCAATGATGGCCAAAGCTAATCAATAAGCCTCCTTCTGGAACATTCCTGCCCCAATTCTAACTAGCAACTAGACTGGACAACCAAGAGTGAGTGGGGCAGGTGCTGGCAGAGAATGAAAAGTAAGACTCTGCAGGAAGAAAGGGGAATTGTGGTGATTGTTAGTTACCGTGTAACAAGCAATGCCAACCCTCTAAGTTATTAAATTTAATCCAAATGGCAACTTGTGAAGCATATATCGTCATCCTTATTTCAGAAGGGGAAACGGTATCCCAGAGAGGAGGGGCCATGCACAAAATCACAGACTGAGCAGCAGGGAGATGAAGTAAAATGTAGGATCCTGAAGAGGAAAAGAAGACTGAACGAAAAAGAGAAAAACTTCCACGGCGCGAAAGCACTGGTGGAGCTACACACCTGGCCCGAGGGGTTGGTATGAAAGTCATTCTAGCTCGATTCATAAAATGGGATATTGTTAGGGTAGCCCCAGGTAGCCGCTGCTCTGCAGCCATTCTTTCCCAAGCTAGGGGACCGTCGGTGCCTTGCTCGGAGTGCCTCCTGCCGTCATCTGGGGGAACTGCAGCAAGGGAAGCTATGCAACAGGGGTTGGGAGAAATCGAGCCAGTTCTGCTTGTAGCTGTCTGCACCCGAGGCACAGACAGGAAACTCTCCAGCCCAGCAGTTCTCCTGACTATAGGCTGTTCAAGCCCCTCCTGGAGCTCTGGGTCGCATTTTGGGGCCTGCCTTTTTTTTTTTTTTGAGAAGGAGTCACAGAAGACGCAGGAAGGAAATGGCTGGAATGTCATGCCCTAACTAGCCACTGCTAGACCTTATTCAGGCTTCTGAACAGAGGCAAGACCTTAAGGCAGAAGGCATTTGGGTGCCATGACCTCTGATCCTAAGCTTAGAAGTCAGAGCCTGCCTCTAGAGTCACCTGCCTCACCAGGGCCTGAAGGAGAGAGGGCATTCCTGCCTCCCCTTCAAGGCCAAAGGCAATACAGGCTGTTCTGTCTTCCCAGAATGGTTGCAGTCCTGTCCCTCCTGAGAAACAATGGATGAGGGAGGGGCTGGCCCTTCATGGATCTCTGGGATGGGGACATTTCCTTATCACAGCATGGGCTACCTGTTGCTTCCATCTGCTTGGCAGAATCGGGTACATTCCCCTCACCCCAGAGAAAGTGTTTTCTTAAGACCACAGAGGGTGGTTCTGGGGGGCAGGAGGAAGGGGCACAGGTGGGTGAAGACAGTAACCTCAGGAGATGCTGCGAGGCTTTTCTGAGTGAACACTTCCAAGCCTGCGGCTGCTCCAGGCTCAGGTACCAAGTCCTGCTGAGAGATGTCCTGGGTCCTCTGGGACTGCAGGGGAGGCCCAGAGCCAGAGGAAAGGGAAAAAGGGAGGAAGGGAAGAAGGAGAGACAGAGACAGGAAAAGAGGGAGAGAGAAAAAGTACGAGAGATACATACACACACACACAAAGTCCATAAATAGCCCAGCTTTTTAAGTCCCACATCTTTAGGATTAGTGGATTAGGTCAGGGAGTAGCCACTCTGGGGGGTGAGCTAGGGAGGGACGACCCTTCTGAGCCACTTGAGGGAGGGAGTCCCACAGTGAGCTCCAGGGCCCTTCTCCCATGGCCTGCCCACTCTCATTCAGAGCTGCTGGGGCCATACCATTCAGATGCTGGTTCTAGCTCTTCCCTGGATGTCTTTGGCTTAGGCTATGGTTCAAGCCTGCAGTATGGATTACAGCCCCCTTTAAACATTCAAACTTGGGTTTGGTAAAAAAGTTCCCACCGTTTTCCCCTTAGCCCAGATGGGGCCCAACAATATACGGGGAAGCTGCTAGGAATTCTGGATGATATAGGCATCTGCAGGACACTCCCCACAAGGCTGGTTTTTGGATCAGGGATTCTAGTCGCCATCAGCAACAGCCCCATGACCGCCCAGCACCTTCCAGTTGAGAAAGTGCTTTTATATTCATTATTTCTACCTTCCCAACTACCCTATGGAATGACAATTCTGGTTCTTCTACAGACGGACTAGGCAATGAGGCTCAGAAAGGGGAAGTTACTCACCCAAGGATCCAGTCAATCCTCGTCTATGACACCTCCCCATCTCCCCAATCTTCAAAGGCCCCCTAAATGCCAAGGGGGCCTGTAAGCCAGTTTCTGAATGGATGGTCCATAGCTCCAGGGTGAGCTCCTGTACCATAGTTCTTTCAGACAGTGTACTGTACTTCTTGGGGCTGGGGGAAGGGCTGGGAGTTGAACAGATGCTACCTTTTATTAAGACTCATCTTCTAGCAGTTCTAGCTATCACCAGCAGGTGGGGCATACCCTACACCAGGCTGCATTGAAACACTCCAGAGCTCTAGACCCCACTCCCCAGGGCTCATCCTCCCCTTCTCTTCTGGAGTCTCACCCTTTCAGTAGCCTCTGCATCCCACCTCACCCATAGCCAGGCCAAGCCTGGCCAGCCCACATCAGGATTGATTAGAGGCCACGCTGAAAGGCAAGAGGGGGCGCTGTTCACTGGACCACTAGACCAGACCCCGCCACCCAGTCCAGGGTCTTGGTTGTGCCAGAGGCAAACAGAGGCCCTTCATGGACGAAGAGGTCTGCCCTTCTTCCATGGCACCAGACTTAAAATCACCAATGGGGGCGCCACCACAGTAGCTGTCTCTGGACTCACGCCTTACCAGACAAAGCCCTCTGTTATCTGGCAGGTTCAGTCCATGGGTAGTACTGATCCAATCAAATGATCTGCTAATTAGATCATGCATCACCAATTTTCAGAGCATTAGAGGGCAGCACACACACAATTGACTCTCTACCTGGGTCTTTATATGATTTGGTCATGCTCCGAGGCAGCTGTGATTTAACAGCAAATACAATAGCATGGGTCACAAGAAAATTGGGTTCTGGCTCCTCTTCCATCAGCTATGACACTGAACAAGTCCTTACTCTTTCTGGGTCTCAGTGCCCTTGTCTGTAAAATGAAGGTTCTAAGCAGGTTCCCAGGGTCCTTCCAACTTTTATTTTATTGAGAAAGAGAGATTTTATTGGTTAAAGAGAAGTCATCTGTGAATACCTCTAGTTAAATTAGTATGCTTGACTTTAACACTTTGGGTTGAAACATGCTTTCTTTATCCTGACTTGAAGTCAAGCTCCTCTGTGGAAGAGTCTGGAACTCTCAAGTGAAACAATAACTCACACTGTGCATTGAGGTACTCTGCTGGTCCCTCCTACGCACATTATCCATCCCCATGAAGTAGGTGCTTTGATTATCTCTACCCAACGCGTCTCAGAGACATTAAGCAACAAGCCCAAAGCCATCCAGCTAGTAAGCAGCAGAGCCGGAATTCGAACCCAGGAAGTATAAGTCTACATCACAATCGGGTTTGAGACCAGTAAGCAACAGCTCTAGGGAGGAAATACTTAAGTCTAAGCTGGGGTAAATATTGCCAAGATTTGGCGAGGGCTAAAAATACTGACTTGAGAGTCTAAATGCAGGGCTTCCCCAAATCCTAACTTCATCTCTTTCTCAATCAAGAAAACACCCCACGCTTTCCACTAGGAAAGGCAGGTCATGTGGGATCCTTTTCTGAAGCCTCAGAAGCAAATTTCTGGGAAGAGCCCATTCCCCACCAGTGGGCTCTGAAGCCCCTTCCACAAGGGACCACTCCCTGATCTGTGTTTTCACAATAGGCACAACAGGGTCTGGTTCTGGATGGAGCTTTTGGGATTCTCAAAACGTGTGCATGAAAAGCCCCTGCAGCACTTGTTCAAATGCCGGCGCCAGCACTGAATCCAAATACCCGATTCAGTAGGTCTTGGCTGGGGCCCTGAAACCTGCATTTCTAACAAGCACCCCTTCCCCATTATACTCTGGCTGATGGAAGAGGAGTACACCAAGCCACCATGAGTCTTGAGTTTTTCATGTTTAAAGTTGGTTTCCAGGACCCAGATTTAGTGACTTCATCTCCCTCAGCCTCATTTACTACCCTCTCCATCCCCACCAGCCCCTAAGCAGCAATGGGGGAAGCATATTGATGTGGGGGATCAGTGTAAGTCAGTAGGTAGCAACCACCCCAATGCCTCTTTACCCAAGGCCCCTATCCAGGGGTTCAGGGTGACACCTACCTCATTGGCTTTCTCGGGGGTGCCTTTAGGGGAGGGGGAGGCTGGTGAGGAGGGCAGCCTGCGCTCCCGTTCCCAGTCTCTATCCCGGTGGATGAGTTTGCTGTTGGGCTCCTTCAGGGTCCTCTTGAGTTCATTGATGCTGGCCTGGTGCTTCAGCAAGACGTCCTCTGGCTTGTCTAAGAACTAGGGACAGATGGAGAGGGTGGTGGTGTTAGGGGAACGGCTCCAAGTGGGGGATGCGGGGTGCAGGGATGATGGTGGCAGTCATCATGACCACCCTCCACCAGCAATGTGGTTCCCACTCTGGCCTGTGTCACCCCTCATGGCAGCCCCAGAGGCCAACCAGGGCAAGGACAACCACGCCAACAGGTGCACAGCCCAAGGCACAGAGCACTGAAGATGAAGAACAGGAGACGTCTAGTCAAGCCACCTTTGCTTCTTCCCTGCCTGGCTCCATAGCCTCTGAGCATCCAACTCTACCCAAATCCCACAGGTCTGGGTGGCTCCCTTTCGTGCTACAAGCCCAGGCTTAGTCACAGAGGAGACTTCCCTCTGGTTACAACCAAGGCAAAGCCAGCGGCAACTGCCAGAGAGCTGTAAGAACTCACTAACCCTGTTGACTGGGCTGCTCTGGCTTGTTCGGGGGCCTCCTAGATCCCTCCTGGATCCCAGTGTCCACTTTCTGGTCAGGACCGGGGCCACTGTACTTAATAGGATGTCCAGTCTGGGCCCCTCCCAGCCCAACATGTGCAACTGCTCGGGCCCTGGGGAAGCCACAGTACAGATCCTCCTCAGGCCAGGGACATCCAGGAGAATGACCAAGCTCCCATGCCAGGGAACAGGGGCAGGAACAGATTGTGTCCAGCCTCCTCTGCGATAGGCCACTACCTTCCCCAACCACCCCGGACCTTCCAGATACCTTTTAGGTACTGACTCACCAATAGCAGACAGGGTGAGATACAGCCATATAGAGAAACTAGGATGCTGTGGAGTGTTGAGGAAGATTAGGAGAATTAGAGACCAGGAAGAAGAGCAGTTAAGTCCCAAGGCTGGGCACAAGAATTGAGCCAGGTACAGCTGGAGTTATAGGATTATAACTATACAGGGTAGTGTTCCCCATTAAACTACCAAGTCTGGCTGGGTACAGTGGCTCACGCCTGTAATTCCAGCACTTTGGGAGGTCGAGGCAGGTGGATCACCTGAGGTTGGGAGTTCAAGACTAGCCTGACCAACATGGAGAAAACTCATCTCTACTAAAAATACAAAAAATCAGCTGAGTGTGGTGGCACATGCCTGTAATCCCAGCTATTTGGGAGGCTGAGGTAGGAGAATTGCTTGAACCTGAGAGGCAGAGGTTGTGGTGAGCCAAGATCGCGTCATTGCATTCCAGCCTGGGTGACGGGAGTGAAACTCCATCTCAAAACAAAACAAAACAAAACAAAAAAACTGCTACCAAGTCTGAGCTTAAGCCAGTGCAGCATGACAGAGTCATCTCCTTAGGTCAACGGAGGACGTGCTTTTTACAGGAGCTGGCAGGGACCTGCAAAAGCTGTTTACCTGCCTACTTCTGGGGCAAAGCGGTTGCTGGCAGCCTAAGGACCCTTATCTCCAAGGCTATTTAAAAATTCATGTTATCTCAATTCAGGATAAGAAATGGACAATCTCAGCCTACTAAAGTCAGATCAGGTGATTCTGGAAGAACCACTGGAAGGTAAGCTTACCCTTGGACAAAGCTAGAAGCTTCCCCTGGGCCCATCACTGGTACCCAAGGATCCACTATGGTTGACTCCCAGTGTCCCTCAGGAAGGAAACCAACCCAGTGAAGGCCCTGCTTTCTCTCCAGACATGTCTGTTCCTCAGGTATCTCTTCCTAAGCTGAGCTGCCCTTGGGACAATGGCTGTCTGACAGGTCACACCTGATGGTGGCGTTTGCACGGAGAGGGGGTTTGGGCTGCAATGAGTAGTGAGTCCCAATCTGAGATATGGCTTGTTATCTTCCATCCAAACCTGCCCCACAGCCTCTGTGGGTGTGTTGTGCTCCTGAAGGCTTTGGGGAACAGTGGGATCCCAGGATCCTTCAAAGTTAAGGGTGTTGGAGAAACCTAGTCTGAATGCTTCGCTGTGCAGACAGGGAACTGGGGCCTGAGGGGACTTTTCCAAGACCTTCAAAGAGTTGGGGGCAGAGGTGGGGTTGAAACCCAGATCTCAGGACTCCAACAGCCATCGTCCCAAGAGCAGCTCAGCTTAGGAAGAGATACCTGAGGAACAGACATGTCTGGAGAGAAAGCAGGGCCTTCACTGGGTTCTTCTTATGTCCCAGCCTCTGGCCCTTTCCTCTGGCAGCCCAAGAATAAACCCACTTCTCTTGCAGTTAAAGTTCAAATGAAGAGTAGTGACTGTGTAAGGTAATAAGTGGTTAACACAGGAGGAATAATTTGGGGGAAACAACAAATAGGAAGGAGACGAGTAAAGGAGGAGAGAAGGAGGAGGTTTTTGCCAGAGGTGAGCAGTGGTTGGCCCTGCCTGGGGAAGGTGTGGGACTGGAGTTGGGGCAGATGCAGATAGATGTGCTCTGAGGTGCCTCCCTCCCCACCCCAATCTCCACTCCCACATCTGGTCGCCAGTAGATACAAAAAGAAGCTTGGGGTGAGGATACAGGGGACAAAGATGAGATGGAGGTGGGACCAAACAGTGCTGTGGGGGAGGAGATGAATCTAGGGGAGGGGTGGGTGGGGGAGATGAGCTAAATGAAAGTGCAGAATGGCCTGGAAGAGCTGATGGTACAGGAGGGATGGTCAGCAGGTGAGCTGCAAGTATGGAGGACCAGGCGAGCTGGAGAAAGCTGAGGAAGGCAGGAGAGATAGCCGATTGGCCAGGAGAGTCTAAGAAGGGAGCTGGAGAGATGGGCTTAGGGGGTGGTAGAATGGGGAGCAAGGATGGCTGCAGAGGGGGATGGCTGGGGAGCAGAGATGAAATTGCAGCTGGGATGGTACCAGGGAAGTGAGAATGGGATGGACCTGTGGGATGGTGACAAATGGCTGGGGATGGAAATGGCTGGGTAGGGAGGGACAAGTCCCATGCAGTACCTCCTGCTTGTGTCTCGGCGTGGTTTCTTGCTCCGGCTAGTGGAATGTGGTAGGAGGGAAAGAAAGCAGCAGGGTCAGTAGAGCAGATGGATTAGAGATGCCACGATGCACTTGGTCCAGCAAGGAGCCCAGAGCACTCACACTCGACCAAGTGGAGGCCAGGGCAGCTGGGCGGGCCACCAGCAGGGCAGTGAGGTAGTCAGAAGGTGTAGCCGTGAAGCAGGGCCTTGTCCCAGGAAGGCAGAGAAGGGAACTAGAGGCCAAGTGGGCAGAGCCACACTCGGCAGACAGGATGTGAGGATGGGGTTTCCTGTCTCTTACTGTCAGTAGGAGCATGTTCAAGGCCCTGTGCTCACAAGGTAGATGGAAAGAAACCTGCTTAACAGCTTAATACAAGAGGAACCCGTGTGTGTGCATGTTTGCACATCTGGGTGCATGGATCTCAGGGTGAGGGGTGCATATATCTGTTACTGAATGCATGTGAGGCTGAGGTCATGCACTCCTGCACAAGCGTGTACACACAGATACTGGAAGTGTGTGTGCACCTGAGTGGGGTGTGGGGCAGAAGGAAGGGGACACACTTGTACCTCACACCTGTGAGAGCTGCTGGTGACACCTGGTCATTCTCTGAGGGGGAAGAGAGTGGTGCAGATCCAATCTCAGTCAAAGGGGCAAATTAGGAGTGTGCACAATGAGAATTGAGTCCTCCAGGGGACAGAGTGTCCCTCTGGAAAAGCAGGGCAAAGTCAGGGAGGGTACAGGGCGGGCAGCTTACCCACCCCCACACCCACCCCAACCCGGGGAGGGCCAGGTATTGAGCATGACCCAAAGGCAAGGCCCTGCCCATGATGCACTCCATAGCAAGGGTGCGTGGCCACGGCTGGGGGCACATGAAGGCCAAGGCCGAGGCTAGACCTCAGGTCAGCCTCCTGATCCCCAGGGCAGAGGGTACAAGAAAGCCAGGCTCCTACCTTTAGCTCCTTGATCTTGGTTGGGGTCCTGACTTCTCCCTCCTCGGCCTCTGACCTTCGGCCCCTAGACTCGCCATCCTCCTCCCGCTTGTCACCTTCAGGCCCTGCATCATGGTTCTCGCTGACCGAGGCTGGGCGGGAGAACTCTGCTGAAGTGGGTGGAGATGGCAGGGCAACCATGTGAGGCCCCTCCCAGAGAATGGACAGAGAACCAGCCTGGCCCTGCCCAACCACGCCTGGAGTGGAGCCAACTCCCCACACCCCTCGCCTGTTGCCCAAAGTGGTGAAGCAGACTTCTGGTCACATGGTCGGGGAGTGGCAGAGCTGCCTCTCAGCCCAGGACTCCTTCCTGCTTTCTACAGCACTAGAGCCTGGGTTCAAATCTCAACATCTCTTCTTGACTGTGTGACCTTGTGTAAGTTACACAGTATCTCTGGGGTCTTCGTTTCCTCATCTAGAAGCAGCGCCTGCTTTAGAAAGCGGAGGTGAGGAATGAACAAGCTAATGTATGTAAGTATTTATGGAAGAGTGGCTGGCACAGAGTGAGTCTTCCATCAACGGCGGCCCATAAATGCTGCTCTTTTGGTTGTGGTGGCTATGGTAGGAAACTCACTTGATCATCATTTAGCAACACACAAATATTGTGAGATTAGCTTTACTATTGAAAGCTACAGTCCTAAAGCTTGCAACTGATGTACCTTCTTTATAAATTAGGGAGAATTCAGGGACATCCCTGCAATAACACCCTTTTCACTCATTGGTATTCCAAACTGCTTTTCTGAATAGGAATGGAAGGAGTAGAATTACAGACTTCTCCACAGGCATTGGGCATAATCCGACTATGCCCGACCATGGATTGTGTCTTGGTGGAAAATAGGCTGAAAAACACAGGTTTAAAATAACCAGAGCTCAGATTATCCTTGGGGTTGGCCTAGATTTTAAAAAGAGGATAATTATCCTTTCTATTCATATACACTCACTTTGCAAAGTACCCATTTATGCATACATTTCCTTTGATTTACACAGTACCCTGTGTTGATGGCTGGAATGGGAATGACTTATCCCCATTTTACAGAGGATAACTGGAGATGTCAAGGAAGAAAATATCCCACTGGTGACCCTTTGGTGAATTGGGACAAGGACCAAGGCCTCCTGGCTTAGAGTCCAATGTTTCTCTCCGATGAGCTTCACCAGCTCCAGGCTAACCTCGGCTGCCTGCCAGAATCTGGGCTTCATCTGGCCCCTGACGTGTAATGGAAGTAACAGAGGAGGGACCTTTCCCCTGGCATAAACCCCAGTTGTCAGTCCTCTGTCTACCTAAGGAGAAGAAGGAGCTTCTTCAGCCTCAGACGAACCCTTGCACAACTACACATCTTTTAAACATGCACAGGAGTCCTGAGGCAGGTCTCACTTTCATATACCAGAAAAAGTATCAGACTTTCTTGATCACCTGGCAAACTCCTAGGTATCCTTCAAAACCCTGCCCAGGTGGCACCCTTTCTGCAGAGCCCTTTCTGCCCCTCCTAGACTTAATCCCTCCCTCCTCAAGGCTGCTCTGCATTCTGCACTTGCTTCTCCCATTGCTTGAACCACATCAAAATGCTTACAACCTGCTATTCTGTGAGCTCCCAAAGGAAAGGGCCAAATCTATTCACTCTAAATACTATACCCAGGACCCAACACAAGGCCTGGCACACATATAACACTCAGAAAATATAAATAGAACTAACTTGCTTGGAGGCCTGCCCCAAGGTGTTCTGGGAGTATCCATGGTTTCCCCACCCAAGTCCCCACTTCTCACCTTTAAGCCACTCTGTACAAATCTAAAAACAATAATAATGGGTATAATTTCTTAAGGTGCTACTATATGCCATGGAATGTTTTCTAGGCATGATCTCACTTAGTTTTCCCTAGAACACAGCAAAGTAGCTACTAATTATTTCGTAGAAGAGGAAACAGGTTGCTTATGGTCACATATCCGATCATTCAGATATTTATGAGCTACTTCCTGTGTCCAGAGAACAGCTGGTGACTGTCAAGGCTGAGATTTGAATTCAGGTCTGCATAATCCTGAATCTCCCCAGTGCCCCGTGTGACTTGTGAACATCACCCACAAACTCTAGTATGTACATCCTGGGGAGAGACTTGGGCCCTGAAGGGTGCTGATTTTGTAGGTCTGGGGTAGAACAGGGAATTTTCATGTTTAACAATGTCACAGGCAACTCTGATGAGACGTGGTCTATGCACCACATGTAAAGTCCTGCCTGCTTGCTACAGGACTACATAGGACCAGTTTTCATTGATGTTAAAGGCACCCATCAGTCCAACAGAAATGGGGACAGTGGAGAGTGCCATGTGGTTAGATTGTCAATCAGCCCAGAGCCCAATAGAACCAAAAGACTGATCAGGAACTATGCCCTGGTCTCCCGGCAGATAAGGCATCATCAGCTCCACACTGCACTCACAAGACACCATTCTCCTAATATGATGACGATGACCAGTGGATTGCTAAGCTTCTTGGGTAGGTGGCCCAAAACCACATGGCTGAACCTGGGTCCCCAAAAGACTACAACTCAGGGAAGCTGTGGGAAATCCAGAGGATGGTAGTGTCACATCCCAAGTGGAAGTGAGCTGTAGGTTGGGACTAAGCCACCAAGAGCTGCCCAGGGACAGCATTTGTCTTGAGGGGCCAGCCTGGTGCAGATGAATTTGGGATGCATCTACCACTTTCCTGCTCATTCTGCAGAACCCGGCATGTCCACTCAACCACTTCCCTCTAAAGACCATTCTCACCCAGCCCTCCAATTTGGGCCATACCTCCATCAAGGCTGCGAGACATGGTGTACCGTTTGCTGGAAGAACGCTCAAAGAAGGGTGCAGGCCGGTCAATGAGGGCGCTGGCCTGGCGGGTCTGTGCCTGGGTCCTCCCACTATACCGGAACTTGGAGCCCATCACCAGGAAGCCCTTGGGTGGGGGCTCAGGGGACACCAGCCTGCAGCAGAGGGATGGAGAGGAGGAGGGGGATCAGACCTGCATTCCAGGCCCAAGGTTAGACCACAGCTGGACTTTCATCCCACCTTTTCATCCCACCAACTATGACAACTCAAAGTGGTCCAGGAAGGAAGAGACTTGGGGAAAGGGAGGAGAACTTTCCTAGAGTTCTCACCAACTCCTCCCCCTGCTCCCCTCCCCGCTCCCCTCCATATGCGTGGCCTCTGTCCCATCCCCATTACCCCATCCAAGGTCAGGCTCACCGGAAGAATGTGTGATGCTCAATGCAGACCTTCCACAGTCTCTTGGCTGACCGGTGATTTGGGAGCTTAAAGCCAATTGTGCTCTCAAATTGTTCATACTGGAAAACCAAGAAGGGCAGGTTAGAGGCAGAGCCTGAGCCCACTCTCACCACTAGCCCATTTTTTGTTTTTTATTTTATTTACTGAATGTTTTTTGAGACACAGGGGCTCGATCATTTGCCCGGGCTGGAGTGTGGTGGCATAATCATAGCTCACTGTAACCTTGAACTCCTGGGCTCAAGGGATCCTCCTGCCTCAGCCTCCCAAGTAGCTGGAACTACAATCACAGGACACCATGTGGCTAATTTTTTTTGTAGAGAATGGGTCTTACTATGCTGCCTAGGCTGGTCTCCAACTCCTGGGCTTAAGCCATCCTCCCACCTCAGCCTCCTGAAGTGCTGGGATCACAGATGTGAGTAAAATCCTTTCTGAGTTCTTCTCAGGCATCTGAAACTTTGGCCTGTTCATTCACTGAATCAATAACGGTGACTGAGCCCTTATTCTATGATGGGTCCAGTGCTGCACATTAGAAACATGTGGAGACCAAGACAGAAGATTCTAGTGGGGCAAGGGGGCCTCCGATAATACATAAGCAAACAAGATAATTGCAGAGACTGATCAGGGCTTCAGGGGAAGGGAGATGTGTGGTGTGGCAGAACTGGGAAGGCGTGGGGGCTCCTGCCATCTAAGGACGAGCAGGGAATGCTCTCTAGACAGGTGATCTTGAGCTGAGAGTTGAAGAATGGAAAGGAACCAGCTATGTGAGAAGGAAGAGATGGGGAGACACTTTCAGGTAGAGGAAACATCACATGCAAAGCACTCAGGCAGGAAAGAGCTTGACTTATTCAAAGATCTCTAGGCCAAAGGGACTAAAGCACCTTGGGAGTGGGGCAGTGTGGCCAAGGATGAGTGGAAGTGGTGGGTGGCTACGGAAGGAGTTTGGACCTTAGCCCAAGAGCTAAAGAGAATTCCTGAAAGGTGTAAGCAAGGGTGTGAGTGGGAAGGGAGAGTGAGCTTGCCATGATCTGATTTAAGAGATTTTTAAGATCTCTCTTGCAGCTGCGAGGAAAATGGCCTGCAGAGCCCCAGAGGCCAGGGAGGGCAGTGAGAAGGCCCTTGTAGGCGCAGGCGCAAGACGGGTGCTGCTGGAGGTGGGTGTGGTGGAGAGGAGGAGAAGCAGATGGGCTCATGTGTGTTCTATAGGTACAACCAAATGGGCTTTTTGATGGGTGAGATGTGGGGATTGAAGGAAAAGAGGTATAGACATATACATGTTTGCATTTGTGGGTATTATGTGTGTAGCCAAGTCTATGTATCTTAAAATGTGTACAAACTTCGATACTTACAACATGTGATAAGTAAATATATAAACTTTACACAGACATGTATTCATTTATCTGTGTGACCTGAATGCATATGGTTATACTTCTTATTTTCCACACACCCCCCATCTTTTCCTTTTGTTTTTGAGACAGAGTCTTACTCTGTCACTCAGTCTGGAGTGCAGTGCCAGCTAATTTTGTATTTTTAGTAGAGACAGGGTTTTACCATGTTGGCCAGGCTGGTCTCGAACTCCTGACCTCAAGCGATCTTCCTACCTTGGCCTTCCAAAGTGCTGGGATTACAGGTGTGAGCCATCGTGCCCAGCCATATGTGGTTATACTTTTATTTAGGCTCCTCTCTCTGTCTCTGTCTCTGTCTTTAGACTCCTCTCTCTCTCTCTGGCTCTGCGTTCTCTCTCTCTCTCTCTCTCTCTCTGTGTGTGTGTGTGAGTGTGTGTGTGTGTGTGTGTGTGTGTGTGTGTGTGTGTGTGTTTTGGCATGCACATACCTAAGGTGTGAAGTCTATGTAGAGAGCCACAGAAGAAGAAGGACCTCCCCCTACTCAGAACCCCAGAACTCCCATCCACGTATCCTGGGTAGGAAATACCCAGGCCCAGTTGCCAAGGTCCACTCCGTTCTACTTGATTCCAGTGCGGAGCTGGGTTTCCCAAGGCAGGCTCACCTCCCCAGGCCGGATCTTGATATAGAAGTTACTCCTCTTGTAGGAGATCTTGAGGATCTTGGGCCAGGCAAAGCGATTGATTCTCAGCCGGTCCCGGTAGATGAGCAGGCCATTGGCACAGACACCTAACATGATGTCGATGCCCTCAGAGTCCTGCATGAGAAGAGACCATGGAAGAGGAGGCCCAGGGCCATGCCTGGGAATGGCCTGTTACCCACCCCAAAAACGCCGCCCTGTGCTCTGCCTGTAACGAGCTCTCAGGAACAGGCTTACAGCCTCCATGCTGGAGTCCCACTGACCAATCCCTCCCACAATCATTCAGTCATTCATGCATCCATTTAGGTATTTTTTGTTTTTGTTTTTTGAGACAGAGTTTCACTCTTGTTGCCCAGGCTGGAGTGCAGTGGTGCAATCTCGGCTCACTCAACCTCCGCCTCCTGGGTTCAAGCAATTCTCCTGCCTCAGTCTCCTGAGTAGCTGAGATTACAGGCATGTGCCACCATGCCTGAATAATTTTGTATTTTTAGCAGAGATGGGGTTTCTCCATATTGGTCAGGCTGGTCTCAAACTCCTGATCTCAGGTGATCTGCCCACCTCAGCCTCCCAAAGTGCTGGGATTACAGGTGTGAGCCACTGTGCCTGGCCCCCATTTAGGTATTTATTCACCCACTCACTTGTTCCATCATTTGCTCTGCCAATCATTCCATCATTCATTCACCCAGCAAACATTTAGTGGCACGTGCTTGGCTGCCAGGCTATGTACCATGTGCTGGGAATACAGAAATAAACTAAGGCCTATGTCTTTCCCTCATGATGCTCCCAATCTAGCAGTGGCTCAAACAGGTTCATTAATAAAATAGATGTAGAAAATGATAAAGATCATGAGAAAATAAAACGTTATGGAACTTTGAGGAAGAAGAATGAGAACAGAAAAGGTTTCAAGTTGGAGGTAACACAGGTTCTGACACACCAAGCCCTAGGGAAAGGCCAGATAGTCCTTCGGGGGCACCACCCAGACGCGAGGGGAAACCAGGAAGCCGGTGGTACCTTGGCATGGTGCAGGTCTACTCCGTACATGGAAAGCTTCTTGGCATTCTCTAAGAAGTGGATTTCTGCTTCTCCTGGGGTCATCCCCCTGAGGGAAAGAAAGCAGTAACAGGTGACCATGGGAAAGGCCCAACCTTGAGTCCTGCTGGCCGAAGGTGGCCACCATCAGAACTCACAATTCCAGCAAGTCTAATGTGCTGAGCCTCACCCTAATCCTTTCCCTCTGCCCTCAGAGTAGGAGGGTGTACCCCAACTTCCACTTCAGCCCACCCAACCCCCATCTTCTGCCAAAGCTCAAGTCCAGTCTTGTTAGTCCAGGAAGCATACAAGGGCTGGGCTGGGAGTCAGGATTTTTGCCTCATTCTGCCACGGAGTTGACTGTGAGCTATAAACTCTACTTTTCCATGACTGTAAAACCACTGTTAAGGACACTATTCATTACAACCACCCAGGGGCTCCTAAATTATTACCTACATAAGATATTTCTTGCAGAATTTAGTATCGGAAGCCACTTAATCTCTCCTAAGGAACAGATGCACATTCTCCTTTCCAAAAAGAAGAGTTATGTAATTAATCAAGTTCCTTCTTTGCTTTGGCTGCCAGGAAACTTGGACATTTTACACTTAGTCACAGCAAACATTTATTGAGTACTATGTGCTGGTTACTGCTTTAAGCACTTTACATGGATTAACTCACTGAATCCTCATAACAACTCTGCAAGGTAGGTATTATGACTATTCTCATTTTACAGATAGGAAAACTGACACAGAGATGTTGAGTAACTTGTCCAAGGCCACACTGCTATTAGGGAGAAGAGTCAGGATTTGAATCTAGACAATGTGACTCCAGAGTGTATGCTCCTAATCACTTCATTACATGTCTGGTATACCCTCCAGGCCTGTTTCCTGTGACCTGTCTACCTCTGGGCTGCTGTATGGGATACTTGGACACTAGATGTCAGTATGCTTTAGGTCCAAAGTGTTGTAGGGACAGCCGTGAGTATTTCTCCAACCCATATCAACCTGAACATCTTTCTCTGAATTATTATGACTTACAAATCCTAAGATGTCTTGCTATCTAGGACAGGGATGACAGATGGCAAGCAAGCCACTACTCCCTATTCCTATGCCCAGGTGGTAGGTATATTGCTAACCTGGGCATTGTAGGGAATCAGGGTCCTACTCAACACAATACCACAGCAGTCATTATTAACCAAGCAGAGTTACTATGCGACTCTCAGAGACAGCATTTGCCACCCTTGACCTATCATTCATCACACCCCAGCAGGCTCTTCCTCATGTATATAACCCCTCCACATCTGGCCCTATCCCTCCTCTCCAGAGGAAGCCCACAGGACATGAGCCTCCTAATTCTCTCCATCCTCAATAGGAATGATACAATATCACCATACTCCTTTCCCTGGGCACAGCACTTTACAGCTTATAATGCACTTTCATATTATTAATTACATTGTGTTTCCATAACAATCCTGGACTTACAGCCCCAAATACTTCCAGCTTAAAAGAACCCTAGAAATCATTTAGTTCCGACGGTTCCTCTCCAGGGGAGCCTGTACAGAAGCAATGGCAAAGTGGAGTATCTGGGTTGTTACAATGATGAGAAGGTGTTATGGGCATTTACTGGGTCCCAGGGATGCTGAGCATTCTGCACAGTGAATTCCCCTGCCCCAAATGCCAACAGTTGAGAGACACTGATAATCTAACTTCGTGCACATACAGGTGAAAAATGGGGCTTAGATGGGTTACCTACCCAGCCTACAATCACACTAGTTCATCTAGTTACCTACCCAGCCTACAATCACACTAGTTCATCTAGTTACCTACCCAGCCTACAATCACACTAGTTACCATCCAACTGCTGGAAGGAGTACTTTTCTCTGCACTATCAACTATTCAACCCCTTGATCCACAGATAGCAACACTAACAGCCAACATGCAGTGTGCCTTTAATATGTGCTGTCGCCAGGAGTGATGGCTCACGCCTGTAATCCTAGCACTTTGGGAGGCTGAGGCAGGCGGATCACGAGGTCAAGAGAGCAAGACCATCCTGGCCAACATGGTGAAACCCTGTCTCTACTAAAATACAAAAATTAGCTGGGTATGGTGGCGCACGCCTATAGGTCCAGCTACTTGGGAGGCTGAGGCAGGACAATTGTTTGAAGCCAGGAGGCGGAGGTTGCAGTGAGCCAAGATCGCGCCACTGCACTCTAGCGTGTCGCCTGGTGACAGAGCAAGACTCTGTCTCAAAAAAAAAAAAAAAAGTGCTGTCTAGGCTTCCCAACAATCCTACAAGGTGGGTTTCACAGCATCCACCTTGAACAGGTGAGGAAACCAAAGCACAGGAAATGAAAGACCTTTCCGAAATCCCCTGGTTAGAAAGTGGCAGAGCCAGAACAGAAACCCTAGCAGGCTAGCTTTCAGGTCCAAACTTTTGAACTCTACAGCAAGATCTAGACAGCAGGACACTTACTCAGAGACACACAGTAGTGACTATTATCTCCAATTGGCAGATAAACTGATTCTCAGAGGCCAAGGACAGGGAATTATCACACCTATATAGGAGCTTAAGAAACTTCGGTCCCATAAGGTCATCAAGGCCACACGGCCAGTCACTATCATTCCTGTTTGCAGAGATGATTTGCTCTCAGCTAGACCTCGAGTTAGGGGCAGAGCCAGGTGGGGTACAAACAGCACAGTTTGCAGCGGCTTAGGACACTCGGACCTGCAAGGAAGGCCCTGGCTGGCACCCTCTTACCTGTATGTCTTATGCAGCTCCATGATCCTCTCCTCCAGCTCCCGGGTCTGGTTAGGGGCGAAGCGGAGCTCGCTAACATAGTTGCCCACATGCTCCTCGGCATCATAGTCGCCCAGCTCAGCCTGTACAGCGTAGGAGCCCAGCAGGGCGTGCGTGACAAAGGAGCAGGGCAGCCTGCCCGTGATGATGTCTGCCCGCAGCTGCAGGCACAGGTAGTATCTGGAGATAGGGGAGAGCCAGCATGGGCACAGGGCCCTACTCCTCCCTAGATCCCCCAAGCACAGCTGTCCATCAGAACCAAACAGAACATAGGTCAGCAGAAAATGATGTCTGTAGACACTGGCGCTTCATATGTTGACGATCTGGGTATGTCTCATGAGCTGGTTTTGCAACATTTCACATGACTGTAAGCATTTTTGTGTATTTCTAAATTTGAGGGGTTTGTTTTCTATTATGAGAGCATTTTCAATTTCTAATTCAATTTCAAACTAAATAGGACTACTTTGCTGGTTTGGCCATCACAAAATGTGGTGTAGTTTTAATTATACAAGTAACATACTGTATTCATATTGTGGAGGAAAAATGCACACTTTGGCGGTGACTCTATTTCCTCTTGATGACTCTCATTCGGTCTCCAGAGTTATCGAGTGGTATTCTAGACATTTCCTCTCCTTGGATATCCAGAAATGTATGTGGTTTTGATCTATGGGTGTTTCTTACCTGCAAAGGGCATCAAATGCTGCCTCTAATTCTAACAGCTCACTTTTCATACCCAGGCCTTAGAGCCTTTCCATGCCAGCACACGTCACTCTACCCCACTAGTTTTCACTTCCATGTTGTATATCATCGCCCAGATGAACCTGCTTGCCAATGCTTTCCCAAAACTTACTTTTTTTTTTTGAAACGGAGTTTCGCTGTTGTTACCCAGGCTGGAGTGCAATGGCGCGATCTCGGCTCACCGCAACCTCCGCCTCCTGGGTTCAGGCAATTCTCCTGCCTCAGCCTCCTGAGTAGCTGGGATTACAGGCACGCGCCACTATGCCCAGCTAATTTTTTGTATTTTTAGTAGAGATGGGGTTTCACCATGTTGACCAGGATGGTCTCGATCTCTTGACCTCATGATCCACCCGCCTCGGCCTCCCAAAGTGCTGGGATTACAGGCGTGAGCCACCACGCCCGCCCTTCCCAAAACTTTCTCATTTTGCCTCCAGCTCTAAGTAAATTGTCTGAAAACAAATTGGTTTAAAGAAATATTTCCAACTACCAGGCCATGATTTTTTATAACTTCTATGCATACTTGGATGATTTTATAATTTTAGAACCATTTAAAAGCATTTTTTATTGCTTTTTCGGTTACTGTGTATTAAAAAAAAAGTTTCAGTTCATTTTTAGCCAACGATGCCACCCTGCCCATTTTTGTTATTTTCACCATTTTTTTTTTCAATTGCCTATTTTTTTTTCTGAAACAGGGTCTCACTCTGTCACCCAGGTTGGAGTGCAGTGGCACAATCTTGGCTCACTGCAGCCTCAATCTCCCAGCCTCAAGCGATCCTCCCACCTCGGCCACCCAAGTAGCCAGGACTACAGATACACACCACTGTGCCCAACTAAATTTTGTATTTTTTTTTATGGAAACAAGGTTTCACTATGTTTCCCAGACTGGTCTCGAAATCCTGGGCTCAAGCAATCCTCCTGCCATTGTCTCCCAAAGTGCTGGGATTACAGGTGTGAGCTACCACATCTGGCCTTTTTTTTTTTTTTTTTTTTTTTTTTTTTTTTTTTTTTTTTTTTTGAGACAGAGTCTTGTTCTGTTGCCCAGGCTGGAGTGCAGTAATGCGATCTCAGCTCACTGCAACCTCCGTTTCCCGGGTTCAAGTGATCCTCCTGCCTCAGCTCCTGAGTAGCTGGGACTACAGGCACCTGCCCCACACCCGGCTAATTTTTGTATTTTTAGTAGAGACATGGTTTCACCATATTGGCCAGGCTGGTCTTGAATTCCTGACCTTGTGATCTGCCCACCCTGGCCTCCCAAAGTGCTGGGATTACAGGCATGAGCCACTGCGCCCAGCGTATTTTAAGTACCTTTTACTTAATATAATTTTTACTACTCTGTGACATTATTTCACAGTCAGAACCGAAATCCTGGCAAAAAGTATGTGCAGCCTCAGTGTGTGTCCAGGGTCAAGAACTCAGAATCAGCAGCAGCTCAGATATCACAAGCACCAAGTAGAGGCTCATGGGCATTCTGTTCAAAAGTCTCAAAATTCAGAAATCACTGCCAAATATTCTGACCAATCTTTCATTTCAATCAATTTGTCATTTTGACCAGTTTATTTCGGGCCTAACTATTTTTGGCAACATCAGCTGCTATACCACCCATCTCCTGGGGCCATCTGTGCTAGGCAGGCCTAACTTCCTTCCCAGTGTGCCTGGAAGCACAGTGCCCAGGCTCTGGCACAAAGATGGGAGGTATCACTAGGTAAGACCAGGGGGATGGAGGCTGTGCTGGCCTAACCCACAGAGTCCACTTGGGAATGGAGGTTTCAGATCCTGCTGCTGCCACATTATCCCCCACCTGACCTCAGGGCATGGAACTAGGGCTAATGACACCAAAGCCCAGGCCTGATCTGTTCCAGGAACATCTGTTTTATCTCCCAAGGCCAGAGTCAGCATCTTTACCTTGATTGATGGCCTGGCAAATAGGCAATTGGCATGAAAGTGAAGGAGGGACCCAGTGGGAGAGAGAGCCGGGCTTAGGAGCCCCTCCCCTGCTGTAGGGGAACTTCCAGCCCATATCTTATGTTGGGGGTATAAGGCCCATCACCTGGATGACACAGCCCCAGGATATCATGAAGTGAGACTATCTCTTTAGAAAGGGCTTAAGAGGAGGGCTTCCCCCTGTTCTGGTTTCCAGAGATGAGATGACCCCACAGAAGTTCCCATACTGAAGGATGCTTTGCACTCACTTCCAATCTTTAGGCCATGTTATCTACTTGTCCTGAGGCACAATGAGACTACATGCACAGTCCATGCTTGCCTTGGCAGCCCAGGCTTTTCTCTGGGGGGAGTCCCAAGCACTATTTGACTTTCACATATCTGACATGTGCACAGAGTGGCATGCAGACCAAAGTTCCCAAGTGCAAAGGCATCCCATCCTACCCTCTCCACATCCCCAACGCTGCAAACTGGTGAGTCACGCAGCACAGCAGCCTTCACAAGGGTTTGGTATGTCCCACCCAGAGATGGACCGTGCCATGTTTTTTAAAGTTTGCATTCATTCCCAACATTTAGAAACTGTGGTTTTTATTCTTTAATCTCTAGGTTCATTTCAACAATCAGGCCCAATTCCTACATGACAGTGATGGCGTGGAGGGGAACAGCAACAGTCTTAGGTGGCTTCTGTCCTCTTAAATCTACAAGGGCCCCACAGCTCCCTGTGATACCTCTTCCTCTGACATCAAGGGTCAGCTGCCACTGACCACTGCGCTTGCAACACTGTGTTTCTTACGATAAGTCGGCTTCCTGTGTTGATGCTGTCTGCCTGACCTCAGTAGGTACCTGCATTTGCAGCTGCTGTCACATACTGCTTGTGTCCCCAGGGCCAGGGGCCCTCATCCATTGTCCCACACAGCCAGCATACCTGTCTCTCCCACAACAGCTCTCAAGCTCTCACCTTGTGATGTCTTCTGTCAGCTGGGCAGGATCAGGGGGGTAGAACTTGACTGTGAAGGCAAAATTCCAGGGGCTACCTGAGAGAAGAAGGTGGGAGAGATCAGAGAGGCCCTGTCATCCCACTGGGTGGTCCAGATGCACCATCCTATGGGCAGTTTTTCAAAGTCTTCTCCTATCTCTGATCTTAGGACAATCCAATCAGGAAGGCTGGAACATTATTCTCATTTGACACATGAGCAAACTGAGGCCCAGGTTAAGAGACTTGTGAGCTAGCAGTAGGAAGGAAGGTAGAAAGAAAGAAAGAAAACTGACGCTGTATGCCAGGCACACTGTTCATTACTTGACAAACATGACTTCAGTAAACTTCACCACAACCCCAAGAGTAAGTCCTATGATTAGTCCCATTTTGCAGATGCTGAGGCCCAGGCAGTAAAGCAGTCAGCCCAAGGTCACCCCACTTGGAAGTGGCAATGCCACCTGGCTCCTTGGTCTACACCCTAGTCTGAGTCACAGGATGTTAGTGATAAGAAAAAAGTCTAGACAATATTACATTAAACAGGTTTCCTAAATCGGGACTTGTCAGAGCCCTCACTCTGCTACTGTGCATTGCAACTCTCTGAGGGGAACATGCATTCAGGAATTTCCAAAAATGGTTCGATCTGTTGTATCCATTTTTAACAGAGCATCCTGAAAGCTCAATGCTTCTCAGAACACACATTAGAAAACTCTGCCCTGTATCATGTTGACTCCATCTCGGATGACAGGATTGGATTATAAACAAGACCTAAAGGCAAATATAATGGGCTAAATGTAACAAAGAGATATTTTAGGAGGATAAACGCTAACCTCCATAGTTAGATGTGGGAAACCAGTGGTACACATCTAAGAAGATACACAGGGGAATAAAGGCTGAGGTTATCACTGGAGGCAAGCTCTGCAAGCCTGGAGAAGGGGTGGCCACTTGAGAGGGAATGAAGGCGGGCAGGGATGAGGCACTGGACAAAACTGGTCAGACCATGCCTGGGGCATTTCAGGTTCCAGGATCAAAGAGGCCCCTGACAAAGTGAGAAAACAAGGCCCATTCAGGGCAGGGCTGTGGCCATGGACCACTGTAGGCCACATCGCCACTACCATCCTTGTCCCTGCAGTAACCACCATCTGCGCCATCCAGAGGTCACATCTCAAACTCTTACTCAGTGCTAGTCATGGTGCTTGCTAAGAACTTATGCACATGTATAGGGGTTTGATCTTCATAATCATCCTGAAGCTGCTTTCTTTCTTTTTTTTTTTTTTGAGACAGAGTCTCACTCAGTCTCCCACGCTGGAGTGCAACAGTGAGATCTTGGCTCACTGTAACCTCTGCTTCTCGGATTCAAGGGATTCTCCTGCCTCAGCCTCCTGAGTAGGGGGATTACATGCATGTGCCACCATGCCTGGCCAATTATTGTATTTTTAGTAGAGATGGGGTTTCACCCTGTTGGTCAGGCTGGTCTCAAACTCATGACTTCGTGGTCCGCCCACCTCAACCTCCCAAACTGCTGGTTTTACAGGCATGAGCCACCGCATCTGGCCCAACTTTCTTTTTTCTAGATGAATTCTGAGAGGTTAAATCACTCTCTCAGAGTGACTAAGTCAGCTAGTCAGTGGTAGAGAATCGGGATCCTAACTGGTCATCTGGCCCCAGAGCCCACGCTTCTGACCACACCGACTTCTTGGAAAAAGCAGCCTCAAGGAGTAATAAGCCTCAGGAACTCCTATCTCAGGAATAATAATGGTAATAATCAATAATAATAATAAATAATAGCTGATGCATACTAGGTGCTACTGTGTGCAGGCACTGTTCTACATGTAATACTCATTTAATCCTCACAACATCGTAAATGTAAGTATCCTGCTTTACAGAGGAGGAAACCAAGGCACAGAACAGTCAACACCAGAAGCAGTGATGGAGTTAACATTCAAATCCAGGCGGGCTGGCCTCAGAGTCTGTCTGCTTAATCATCACACCATACTGCCTCAGGGAAGCAAGAAGAAAACAGCTACTGAGCACCTACTATGTGCTTGGTGCTGTCCATACATATGTCATTTAACTGTCACCCCCAACTAGTGAGGCAGGAATGACTAATCCACTGGCCAAGGAGAAGCAGGGGCCCAGAGATGTGGAGAATTTGCCCAGGTACCCTACTTTGCCCTACTCTGCCCCAGGTGCACTGAGGTTTGGGAGGAGATACACCCAACTCCGAAGCCCAGGCCACAAGGACCAATGGCGCCACCTTCAGAAGGCTGAGGTGCTGTCACAAACAGAAGAAAGAGGGTAACAAATTGCTCCACTGGGGCCCTAGAAGGTAGGATGAGGATGAATGGCTGGAAGTTATAGGGGTAGAGTCAGAGACTGTGGCTTTCCTGGATAAGGTACTTGCTAGGGATCAAGACTATTACTCAGAGACTTGAGATGGCTACAAGGAGTGACATCCACCAGGCCTGGGCTGCAGGCCAGCTCTGGGAGGGATGCTGACACCTGACCATTTGGTCTAGCCGCCTGTCTTTCCCAAGTTCCTGGTCCTGACCGAACACTGCACACTCGACTCCTGCATGTGTTCCCATCCCTTTAGTCAGGAGAGGCAGGCCTCCCAGCCAGGCAGGGGCTTCTGGGAGTCAGCCTGAAGCCCAGGCAGAGGATCTGTCAGCCCCCCGAGAAGTGTGCACTGTCTGTGTGCCTGCCTCTTTGTCTCCAACTGATGGAACCTACAGGAAGAATTCCTTGAGCCCCCTCCTGCAGAGTCAGCTGGCATCTCTGGGCCCAGCTGCCCGCTGTCATGGCAACAGGCTCAGCTACAGCTTTCCAGTCAGGGGACCGGGGAGTCCAGGAGAGACCAACCACAGCCAAGTGGGAGGGGCCCTGGGTGGAGGCATCTCTGCCTTGAGGCTCCAGGTCCCAACCTACTCAGGCTGGCTTGCTGAGGCCACCTACCTCCCCATTCTGCCATTTGGGAGCTGCCCCATCCCCTCCCAACATGCTTTCTCTCTCTGGGCCAGAAAGGACAGGCTGTTGGTCTGTTCATTTGCTTTCACTCCAGGCCTTGAAAAGAGCACAGGATGGTGTTGGAAGACCAGGGCTCAAGATCTGGCTCAGCCAACATTTGGCTCTGTGACCTTAGGTAATAACTGCCTCTCTCTGAGCCTCTGAGGGAAGGGTCATTGCTTACTGAAGTCTGCGCCATCCCTGGATAGCAGGGTGGCTGTTTCCAGCCCATCTGCTTGTCCTTTGTCCTCGATAGCTCTGCAATTCCCTTCTAGAACTGACATCCTGAATGCATTTCTGATTCCTCTGCTAACTTGCTGTGTGACTCTGCACAGTGGTTTCTCTTCTCTGGGCCTTAGACTTGTCCTTCCTGCCCTGGCTTCTCTCAAGATCTACCATGTGGATTACACAGACTCATGGATCTGAATAAAGTTTCTTTTTTTTTTCCTTTTGGAGATGGAGTTTTGCTCTGTTGCCCAGGCTGAAGTGCAGTGGTGTGAACTCAGCTCCTTGCAACCTCTGCCCCCCGGGTTCAAGAAAATTGCTTGAGGCAGTCCCAGTGCCTCAGCCTCCCAAGTAGCTGGGATTACAGGAGCCAGCCACCATGCCCAGCTAAGTTTTGTATTTTTTTTTTTTTTTTTTTTTAGTAGAGACGGGGTTTCACCATGTCAGCCAGGCTGGTCTCAAATGCCTGACCTCAAGTCATCCACCCACCTCAGTCTCCCAGTGCTGAGATTACAGGCATGAGCCACGGCACCCAGCCTAAATGCACTTTCCAAAGGAGAAGAGAGCGATACAAGGGGGGCTCTCATGGTCTGGATCCCCTCGCCCACCCACCTCCCAACCACAGCAAGCCACTCACTCCGGATCTGCTTCTTGATCTCCTTGGAGGGGTCCAGCCAGTTCTAAAAGAAAAGATAGAGATCTTCAGAGGGAAGATGCAGCAAAGGACCTGACTGGGCTGGGGACAGAACTATCCTGAGGTGGCCAGTCAACAGCCCCTCATGGGGAGCACACTTCCTTGTCTAAACCTCTTAGTCCATTTTCCTTGGGACTAGGGGGTGAGGAGAATGGGGCTGGGGTTTACCACCAGCCTTGGACCCAGTGCCCTGGAGCCACCACAGCCGTGAGACAATTCCAGTGAGCAAGTAATGCAGCTGCAGGGAGCCTGGCAGGAAGGAGGAAACTCAAGCAGAGCTTCCCAAGGGTAGGGAAGAGGGTCTGGCAGGGAGCTCCTCGCTGCCCCCAGCAACTCTAGCAGCCTAACCAGGGCCCTGCAAATACCCATCTGGGGGTGACCTGTGCGTCACCAAGAAATGGCTGAGACAGAGAACAGAGAGTGGATAGGGCTGGCTGAACCTTGGGGACATACAAACAGAAGATGCCTAATGATCTGAGCACTAGTGGAAGCCATGGGATGTGGCCAGGATTACAGGGGCTTAACAGAAGAGGAGGCCCTGCCCCGCTCCCCAGCCCAGGTACCTTCTGGCTGTCGGCATCACAGAAGGTCAGGCCGAAGTAGTCCTTCTCCAGGAGGTTGAGGTGCTCACAGACCAGGTCAAACAGCACCTGGCCCCGGCCATGTTTCTAAGGAGGCAATCAGAGTGGCTGTGAGGCTGCAGCACACCCCGAGGTGGAGCTGGGAGATACCCTAGGCTCCACCAGGACAACTCGGAAACCCCAAGGGCCTTCAGCATCTGCACAGGAATGCAGCGCTCCTGCCACCTACTTGGCTCCAACCTCTGAGTCCTCAGGGATCCTGGGGGTGACAACAATGCCCAGTTCCTTGATGGCCTTCTTCCAAGTTCTGCTGGGGGTTTCTAGACCTTGAGCTTGCTTAGGGAGAAGCTGGAGTGGAGGGTATGGGAAGTGACTGCTTTCTCCTTCCTTTGTAGTGATTAAGAGAAGGAGACTCACTTAGACCCAAGGAGCAGAAAACCAAGTCCTAAGCTTTGGGCGTGAGAGGAAGAGAAGAAGCCCCTGGAATATGACAGAAGCAGGCAGGGGGAGAAGGGGAAGGCCTGGGACTCAGGGTCCCAGTGTGACCCTCCCTTCCTGGGCTCCTCCCCTTCACTGAGTGGAATCCAGGGCAGCACAGGCTAGCCTACCACTCCCTTCTCCACAGCCAGTGAGGTTTCACAGAGGCTCACGAGGCCTCCCTCAGCTTCTGCTGGAAGCAGCATTGACAGAGCAGGGTAGGTTCCTCCCACTCCTGTATAGCTAGGCTTGGGGCTCTCTGAACCACCATTCAGAGTGACGAAGCCCAGAACCCAGCTGGGCACTCCAAACCCACAGGGATGAAGATGATCACCAATAAGGGGATCATAGGGCAGGGGAACAGGAGGCAGTCACCACCCAAAGAGGTAGGGACTCTAGAGAGGGAGTGAGGCCCCTGTAAAGTCTGGCTGGGCCCTCAGGACCAAGCCTGACTAGGAATTCCTGCACCTGGAGATCATCAGAGAAAGAGGACCTGGCCTTAGCCAAACCCTTTATGCACTTCTAGGGCAGGCAGAAATGGCATCTTGGGGCCCATTAAGGTAGGAGAGAGGACATAGAAGACAGCCGCTTCTTTTGTCCCAGGAGCAGGGAAAGTGAAATCTTTCTATAGAAAAAATACATACACAGCTAGGCACAGTAGCTCATGCCTGTAATCCCAGCACTTTGGGAGACCAAGGCGGGTGGATCACTTAAGGCCAGGAGTTCAAGATCAGCCTGGGCAACACGGCAAAACCCCATCTCTACTAAAAATACAAAAATCAGCCAGGCGTGGTGATGGGTGCCTGTAATCCCAGCTATTCAGGAGGCTGAGGCAGGAGAACCGCTTGAACCTGAGTGGTGGAGGTTGCAGTGAGCTGAGACAGTACCACTGCACTCCAGCCTGGGCAACAGAGCAAGACTCTGTCTCAAAAAGACAAAAAAAAAAAAAAAAAAAAAAAAAAAAAAAAAAAAAAAAAAAAAAAAAAAAAAAAAAAAAAAAAAAAAAAAAAAAAAAAAAAGAAAGAAAGAAAGAAAGAAAGAAAGAAAGAAAGAAAGAAAGAAAGAAAGAAAGATAGATAAAAGAATCAAAACAAAACAAAACCTGTAGAGAAGAGGGACTCAGCCTCCCAGGGCTCAGGAGTAAGTCACATCCCTAAAACCTGGGCTTGGGGGAGAAAAGGAGGCAGCTCCGGTAAATTTCAGTTGCAAGGACACCTTCTGAGCCCTTTCACACATGCAGAGGAGGGCCAGAGACGCTGTCTTGGCAGGGGTAGAGCCTCTAACTCACAGAGGGGGCAATCGAGACCTCAGAATTAAGGTGAGAGTCAGAACCTATACAGGAAAAGGAGACCTAAACACGGGGCCTGGAGGGCCAACCCCAGAAGGAGGCGTCTGCTGTGTCACCACCATGGGGCAGGGCCATCCCACAGGGTTTCTACACAGCCCGGGTGACATCCTCCCAGTGGGCCGCCTCCCTATGACTGGGTGACGGGCTTCCCATAGAACCCTCAGGTGACTAGTTTGTCCTGGAGACTTGAGATGGTTCCCTGGACAGGGATATTCACTAGGAAGGGAGAACCCCTCTCTCCACCCAGTGTAGAAAAATGATTCTAATGGAAATTACTCTCCTGGGTGAATAGGAGGGCCCAGCTCCTAGGTCTACTGGGATGTAGATCAGCCCTTACATGCTGGCATCCTTGCCAAGATACAGTCACCCTTCCCCTGGTGCCAGCCCTGTGCCTCATCTAATTCTATTTGCAATCATAACCACTCTCTTCAGGCTTTGATGCCACCATCTGTATAAAGGAGCTCTGAGCCAGGTCATCCCTTTGGACACTGCAGCCGGTCCAGGACTCCTCTGGTTTGGCCCAGGTTGGGTACACACAGGAGCCTGCTCTGGACCTGAGACCGGTCAACCGCGGACGGGACATATGGCGCGGAGTACTCCCCTACCTCCACCTCACACTCATACTCCGAGGCATCAAGCAGAGTGACCCGGCAGACGGCACTCTTGTATTTCTTGGCAATCTTCTGAGGTGACTTCTGGGCCTTGCTGGGCGTGGTCCTCTCCGACAGGCCGTCGGCCTCACTGTAGTCCTTCTCCTCCATGTCTAGGCTCTGCAGGACCAAGCAAGGGAAGAGTTTGCTCAGTGAGTTTTAAGCCATGGCCTTTCATATAAATAAGAAGCAATATGGAGGCAGCTGGGTCCAAGACAGACCCCTGAATGAGAGTTACTGTTCTCTGAGACCCACAGGGCAACCGGGCCCTATGGCTGGTGTGCACAGGAGGAGAGCCAGGGCTGCCATGCAGTGAGGGGTCCCCGTCTTCCCTGCAGGCTACTGCTGCCATAGGCATCCTCTGAGGCAGGAGCATCCCATGAAACCAAAGCCGGTGGCCAGCGCTGCCCTGTCTCTCTCCTAGAGCAGCGCACGAGTCATCACAGCATCCATCTGGTCTCCTCCTTTCTGTTCATCACTGGATCTAGCAGGATGCTGGGAGCTGTGCACTGAGCTAAAGGAGAGAAGGAAGGCCAGAGACCTGCCCCGCCCCCCGATCCTAACTCCACTGCCGACTCCCTTGGTGATCTTGGCCTATTCCCTGCCCTCTCCAGGCCTGTCATGAATTAAGGAAGGTGTGAATTACATGACGAGGTGAGTCCCTTGTAGCTTTAGGGCAATGGGTTTTGCTCTGGGGTCACGTGGGGCTGGCCAAGCTAGAACAGACAGGTTCGGATATAGGAAAAGAAATGGAAAGAACTCAGGCTTCAAAATCAGATCTAGATTTGACTTCAGCTCTATCACTTTATGGCAATGTGACTTTGGGTAACTCACTTTATCCTGCTGGTGCTCAGTTTCCCCAAGGGTAAAATGGGGTAGTTACTCTTTGAGAGAAAAAAATTTTTAAATGACCACAATGGGCCCAGTGTGGTGGCTCACACCTGTAATCCCAGCACTTTGGTAGGCCAAGGCAGGAGGATCACTTGAGCCCAGGAGTCTGAGACCAGCCTGGACAGCATAGTGAGACCTTGTCTCTACTGAAGGACCTTGTTTCTACTGAAAGTTAAAAAAAAAATGATGGCCGGGCACAGTGGCTCACGCCTGTAATCCCAGCACTTTGGGAGGCCGAGGTGGGTGGATCACCTGAGTTCAGGAGTTCGAGACTAGCCTGGTCAATATGGTGAAACTCTGACTCTAATAAAAATACAACAATTAGCCAGACATGGGGGTACACGCCTACAATCCCAGCTACTAAGGAGGCTGAAGCAGGAGAATCGCTTGAACCTGGGTAGTGGAGGGTGCAGTGAGCCAAGATGGCGCCACTGCGCTCCAGCCTGGGTGAAAGAGTGAGACTCCAACTCAAAAACTAAATAAATAAATAAAGTTTAAAAAGTCAGCCAGGTGTGGTGGTGCATGCCTGTAGTCCCTGTTACTCAGGAGGCTGAGGCACAAGGATTGCTTCAGCCTGGGAGATTGAGGCTGCACTACAGCCTGGGCAACACAGTGAGACCTGTCTCAAGAAAGAAAATAAAATGACTCCGATGCTCCCAGCACAGTGCTCGGCATGTAACGGGTCACTAATAAATCTTAGTTTCTTTCTTTCCTCCCTCCTGAAAAAATACTGGGGCTCTAAGAACTGGACCTGGAGGACAGTCTGGACAGGAAAGGGATGTCCATGCTCTCAGGCACACACCTGTTCAGCAGGCTGCGTGTCCTGCTGGGGAAGATGCTTCTCATTGGAGTTGGCCTCTGGGTGGCTGTGGCCTGCGGGGGTCACAGGGGTGGTCACAGCGGCGGCAGCCTCAGGCTGCTGTGGGGTCTCCTCCTGAGCTTTCTTCACCTCAGAGTCGGGGCCTGTTTCTGTTGTCATGGTGACCAGCACGCCTGCATTGACATGACGGAAAACATTGGACAGGGAGGGACAGCAATGGTGTGACAGCAAGAGGGGCAGGAACCACACGCAGAGAGAGACAGATGGAGGCAAAGAGACAAAGAGTCATAGGGTGAAGGGAGGAGGGAGGGAGAGACAGCAGAAGTGGGGATGGGGGAGAGTCATGGGAGGTGAGGGGTTAGTGGCTGAGGTCACAGGCACCCTGCCACCCTGTGTCTGCAGCTCCTCAGGGACCCTAATCTCTGGCCCTTGCTAGGGATGATGAGTCCTTCCAAGGAGCTCTACTCTGCCAGGAGCACACGGGGCAGCCAGTGATCGCGTCCAGGCAGGGTCCAAGCCAGGCTGTCTCTCCAGCCACCTCACCTGGTACTTGGTTGCCTGTCAGAAAAGCTGGATGCACAGAATTTAACCAAAAGAGCCCTGGGTTCCAGACCCTTCTAGTGCTGAATCTGGGCACACCTCTTCATGCCCCAAGCTTCAATAATTCCTGCCCTGCTAGCTTCACAGAATGTATCCAAAAAGAGAATGACAGGAAGAAACTTAAAACAACAAAACAAAACAAAAAACTGCGCAGCCCTAACGATGTAAAAGTAAAAAAAAAAAAAAAAAACCAGGCTCAGGCCCTGAGTTGGCCACAAATGTGGCAGTCACTTCACCTCTCTGGGATTCATCCAAAAAGTGAACAACATAGAGAAATACTCTCTGGGATAAACTATTCTTGTCATTTTCCCCTTTTAGCAGTAAATGAGATTTCAGAGAGTCAAGGACCCATTGCCTAGCTATTCTGCTGGAATAAGCAAGTTAACGAGAGAGAAAGAGAAAGAGAGAGAGAGAATGGCATGGTCTCATTTTTATATTTGAAAAACAAAGCAGGCCAGGCGTGGTGGTTTATGCCTGTAATCCCAGCACTTTGGAAGGCCAAGGAGGGTGGATCACCTGAGGTCGGGAGTTTGAGACAACCTGGCCAACATGGTAAAACCTTGTCTCTACTAAAAATACAAAACTTAGCCCAGCGTGGTGGTACACATCTGTAATCCCAGCTACTTGGGAGGCTGAGGCAGGAGGATCACTTGAACCTGGGAGGCGGAGGTTGTAGTGAGCCAAGAGTGCACCATTGCACTCAGCCTGTGCAATAGAGCGAGACTCCGTCTCCAAAAAAAAAAGAAAAACAAAACAGTAACCTCAACAACATATGTTTGTGTTTGCACACATTTAGTAAAAGGTCTGAAAGGATACTCACCAAATTGTTAAGAGAGGTTGGTAAGGCGGAAGTGGGTAAAGGAAAACGAAAGAGATCCCTGGGAACAAGGTGACATAAGAGAGAAAACTTCACTTTCACTTTATATGCTTTGGAACTACTTTTATCTTTCAAAATATACATATGTAGGCCAGGCGCAGTGGCTCATGCCTATACTCTCAGAACTTTGGGAGGCCGAGGCGGGCGGATCACCTGATGTCAGGAGTTTGAAACTAGCCTGGCCAACATGGTGAAACCCCATCTCTACTAAATATACAAAAATTAGCCGGTGTGGTCACACACGTCTGAAATCCCAGCTACTCAGGAGGCTGAAGCAAGAGAATCACTTGAACCCAGGAGGCCAAGGTTGCAGTGAGCCACTGCACTCCAGCCTGGGTGACGGAATGAGACTCCATCTCAAAATAAAATAAAATATAAATAAATAAATAAAATACACATAGGCATTTTTTAACTCACAAGTTAGCTTTTTAAAAAGGTTCGGTAGGGGAGGGGGCATCAAATGCAACCATTCCTGCCCCCAATCAACAGAGCCTCAAAGAAAACTTTAAAGCTAAAACCAGGAAAATAGAGAGAAATGAGCAGGAACCCTCCCCCTGAGTCCAGGCTCTTCCTCTAAATCTATCATATTACATGAGAGAGATTCAGGCTAGACCTGGCAGGCCCTCTCCCCTGCACCATCCATTGTGGGAGGCCTCTGATAGACCGACAGACAGACAGACAGACAGATAGACACAGCATCCACCCTGGGCTAGCCACATGCTCCAGATCCCCTGCCCGACACTTTTTTCATTTTTCAATTTTTCTCCCTACATCTCAATGGGCATCAGCCCGGCCCAAAGCCAAGAGCACTGGACAGAAAGACAGGGACCCTGAGCACCCCAAGCAGCCCACTCAGTCACAGGAGAGCTCCAGGGCCCTGAACATCCTCAGCACCCCCGCACACAGTGGATGACAGGGGAAAGGCTTTGTAGGCTGAGGCTTAGAGTACAAATGAGAGGATTTGCTGGTATTGATGCTGCTGTTAAGAAGTAAGAGGAGGAAGAAAGGAAGGCCTGGGTCCCCATCGCCTCCTCCCCACCCAGAAACGCTTTCCACTCAAGCCACTACTCTATGCTTTATGGGTATAACTTAAAGCCATAGTTGGATAAAGGCTCTCTGTCACTTATGGGACAATGAGTGCTGACTCCAGGCCAGGATACAAAGCAACGAGAGCTGCTCTAGGGGAGCCCACAGCCTTGGAAGGGCCCACATGATACCTGTGCGCCAGGCTCAGGATCTTTTCTGAGCCTGCACTTAAGGATACTGGTCATGTCAGATAAGGCTGATAGGCAAGAACCCTTAAAATAACTGCCTGCTTAATTTTGCTTACAAATTTAAAAAAAAAAGCACCCACAGATTCATCTGTGTGTTTTCTGCTGTGAGATGCAGAATCTACATGACCCCTTGTGGGCCCAGGCAGCCGGGAGACACTTCCACTCCTCCCTTTCAGATGGCCTCAATCTGATTTCAGCTCATACTCTCGGAACTTTTCCCGAGCCTGAGGGTTCTTGAAATAGCCAGGAAAGCAACCTTACATAAATATCCCAGTCTCAGTCTTCCTCTGCCTGGGTCTCCAGCAGAGCCTGCTGGCAGCAAACGGCTGGCCCTCCCAGAACCACAGACGAGAGGAGCTGGATGCCTTTTGAGATAATTCATTCTACTCCTCTTCCTTTACAGGTGAGACTCCTTTACAGTTGAGCAAAAAAGATTTGAGTGATGGTCATTTCCTCAGACAGGTTTCCCTGATTCCTCCATCCACTCTCCTCCCTCCCCAGCCCCTGGAAATCCCAGATCCTAACGCTAGGTCTGCTTTCTCTCCACTGTACTTGGCTAACTTAAGCAAACCCCAACAGAACTCCCCCAAAGGAGAAAGCACTCAGGCTCAGGCTGAACGCCAAGGATGCAGCAGGAGCCACCTCTGCATTCCATGGCCAGAGGCTAGTGAGATAAATGATAGCTCATCCACTCTAGAAAGTTAAAAAAAAAAAAGTAAACAATCATGGAAAATATTTTAGTAAAAAGGCATGATACACAACAGTTTGTACAGATTGACCCTATTTTAATGAATACACATGCACAGATATGGAAAATTCAGCAAAGCATTAACCATAGTTATTTCTGGGTGGCAGGAAGACAGATTATTATTTTTTCTTCTTTCTGTTTAACTGTAGTTCTTGGTTTTGCTACTATACTTGGAGATTCCTTGAATGGGTTTAAGTTAGAGGTCAAAAAAGAAATGTTTCTCGTGCACATGGCTTGGTATGACAGTATGAGAAAGAGAAAAGGTCTGTTTAAACCCTTTAAAAATTTATAAATCAAAAATAACATGTTTTAAAAAAAATCTAGCATGAAATCTTAATTTCACAAATCCAAAGACAACAGCATGGTTCTCTCACTAGGCCACAGAAAGGGAGCCAAGGGCCTGGCCTGGCTTCTGACATAGCCTACCATGTGGGCATGGTTCCCTCCAGGCCCAGGTGGGAAGACTGATGGAGACTGCTGTGCAGCTAGGCCAGGCCAGGCACCGTAGTGGCCCCTGGAGGGAAGCACGTGCTGCTTCTCTAGGAGCTGGCTGCAATGTGGGAGGAGGATGCTCACCCAGGAAATGGCTAAACACTCCAGAAGGAGACGATCTAGATTTGTCATGTATGTTTCAGCCACTCAGCAGAGTCTGGGGACCTGGTGATCTGGACTGTAGCCTGGAGTTCCCAAAGGATACCTCTAGGGTGGGGAGTGAATGTAGAATTGGGTGTTGAAAAAGGGAGCCATTTAGACAGGAGATGCAGGGAGGGCATCTGAGCTGAGTCACCATGTGGGCAGATGCCCAGAGATGGGAACAAGGGGACTAGGCAGGGGACAGACAGGAGACCTTGACATCCTGGCACTTCAGAGTGAGAAGCCTATAAAGGTGCGCACTGGCCAGGCGTGGTGGCTCATGCCTATAATCCCAGCACTTTGAGAGGCGGAGGCGGGAGGATCACAAGGTCAGGAGATCAAGACCATCCAGGCCAACATGGTGAATACAAAAAATTAGCCAGGCATGGTGGCGCACACCTGTAGTTCCAGCTACTCAGGAGACTGAGGCAGGGGAATTGCTTGAACCTGGGCGGCAGAGGTTGCAGTGACCCTAGATCAGGCCACTGAACTCCAGCTTAGTGACAGAGGAAGATTCTGTCTCAAAAAAAAAAAAAAGGGCGGGGTGGGGTAAGCACCAAACAGCCTGGAAGGAGGGGCTGGTTGGAGCTCAGGAGGAGTGACAGGGCTGGGAGGGTGCAGGCAGCCTTGCAAGAGTCAGGAGCATCTCTGTGCCGGAGAAGGATGGGATTCCCATCACTGAGTGCTGCTGCCAGCCAAGGCCCAGGGCTAGAGACATCACACAGTCATTCATGGACCTCTTGCAGGGAGGTAGGGTAGGCAGCCCTGTGGCTCAGTGGTTCACACGACAGGCTTTGGAGTCAGGCAGACCCAGACCCAAAGCCTAGTGCCAATGCTTGCTCACTCTGTGACCTTGGACAAGTGACTTCACTTTTCTGTGCCTAAGTTACGTCTTCTATAAAACAGAGACACTCCTCCCTCCCTCTCAGGACAGTGAAGGAGAGTTAGGAAAATAACACAGAGAAAGCAGTTAGCATGGTATGCACCCAATAAAACAAGCCTGAGAGGTAGGCACTATAATTACCAGCAGTAATGGGAAGC